TGTTCATTTTCATAAACAACATATTAGAACTGTTTTCTCTGTCTTGGAGCAGGAAAAAAAAAAACGGAGCAGGAAAGGCTCCACTTCTCCTGCTCATCAGTTAGGCTGCTTATATTCTCATGTGTCAGTCAAAGGAGGGTCTCAAATTCCCTCAGAAAAAGAGGAGTGAAATAGAAGTCTTTCTTCCTTATCTCATCAACAGCCAGTAGTCATAAGCAGAGAAAGAAGGATTGACCAAAATAGCATCTAAGAGGGAAGGTACACTTTTTTGAGGTCTTTCTCCCTTTGCCAATTGCTCATAACACTTTTTCATCTTACTGTGCCAGAGACGTGTGGATTCCTAGGAAAATAGACCCCAAAACTGCTGTCTCAATTCTTAGCTACAGCTGCACACTTCAGTATATTCAGGAACAGAAATCTGACTGTTGAAAGAATCCTCTTGAAGGCTTCAGGACATCTCAGCCTGGAATACAGAGGTAAAGGTCTCAGAAGGGGAAGAGAGGAGGAGGAGGAATGGGGCTCTTCATCTAAGAGCAACCAGTTCTCTTATTTCCGCCCACAATTCATGAAAATGGTATCGACAGGCACAGACTGATTCCTGCACCTCATTAGTGACGTTAATATCACGGGCATCCTGTGGATATTCTACTCCTGATGCATGTAAATGTAAGGAAACGCCTGCCAGTTGACAGAGATTATCCTTATGTAAAATACCTTTACCTAATCTTTCCAAATATTACATGGAAAATTATCATTACTCACCCTGCCAAAACAATAGCCTGACGCGAGACTTGACTATTGCCTGTACTCTTGCACACAGTTAAGCAGCTTGTGGGTGAAAGTAATTGCTCGGAATAATTTCAGACACTGCAATTTAAAGATCAGATTTAAAATATCTACAAAGCACTTTGCAGTCACACCTAAATCTTCCCATCGTCAACTCCAGTCATAAAACTGGATACACGTAACATTCTGCCACGTCGTGATTTTCCGAAGACAGAGTTTTCCCATTTGAAAGAGTCCATCTTCTCTGCCGAGAACCATTTACAGATCTCGTGTTGACTTTCTTTTCAGCAGCAGTGAAAATTCTGCACCTCAGAATAGTTAAAAGCACTAGCATGCATATCACACGATGCCTCCCTGAAGTACGGTGATTTTTTTTCCAGAATGGAAAAAAGCTTTCTGGTGTTTTTCATTCCATCCTACAGAACATGAAATTTGCTGTTGTTTGGAAATAAAAGGAAAAACACTTTTCTAAGACCATCTAGAGGAAGTCTTTCTCCTACAAGTAAGGACACAAACAGCTACAACATCTTTTCTCTGCCTAGTTACAACATATAACGCCTAAGCAGAGCAATGTTATTCAGGTCTACACATTACTCATGGACTCATGTACACAACTACATTCCTCAGCCACCAGTGACTGACACTCAGATCAGTAAATAGCACGATATCAGGGCACAAACCTCATAATTTATGAAAAGGTAACTGTGCTCCCCCATCATTCTTGATAAAGACCCAGTAATAGTCATTAGAAATTACAGACTCCCTCATCCCTATCAGTTGCACCAGACTCTTGTTGGAGATGCATCTGTGGAAAATTGAAAGACAGACTCATGCTGTGTTGGCAAAAATTAAGACTTCCTTAAGAAATGCTAATCATGTTCTTATTTATTACTCTTAAAAGCACTAAACCAAATAATAATGATGTTTCTCATAATTTCTCACAACTCCGCCATGGAGGCATAAAGAAGTACCATTTCTATCTTACACTGCTTTACTTCTGAGCAAATAATTATTTAATTAATAAAAAATTCTGTCAAAATACATCACTCAACTCACGCAGGAAGACTGACTTTAAATATGCCAATCTAAATATATATTTACACAGGCCCAAGTGGCATTTACCTGAATGCCATAAATTATTGTGTATCTTAAGTACACATATTTATATGGCTTCTTTACGACAAATTTCTAATACTATCGAAAAAAAGCAAACCTGAACATGCAGACATTTCTGTGTCAATAACATCAAGATTATGAAAATAGCAAGAGATAAGATTTCATATAAGCCCACTGTGCTCATTGTTGTTAGCTGATTTCATCGAAGCATGTACTGAAAGACAGACTCTATCATCTCCTCCATAGCTGGCTTTCTGGATACTGCTAATTGATACAATGCAATAAACCCAGAAACAACCAATAGTATCTTGGAACCAAAAAAAAGCTTTATAGCGTGTTTATAGTAACACAAAAACTCTGGAGGTTGGCAAAACCTTTCTCTGCACAGACAGTACACTGCTGTTAGTGCAACTCCACAGAAACCGCAATTTCCTACGCTGATCTGGTCACTGAGTTTTTGCTGTGTACTGAAGAGAACCTGGATACGTTACAGCCCCCAAAACACATTTAATATTTACCAATAACCAGAGGAGGGTTTAAAAGGTAAATATAAAAGGCAACTGGTTTTAAGTCAAAAGCAACAGAGGACCCATGCTGTTGAGAATCGTTAGTATTGGTTTGATTGTTTTAGAGTCAGGTTTTACTCTACATTTTATTTACACTTTGCAGGCTTTTAATTAAAGAGAGGGGCTAGGACAAGAGCCGAAATAGCCATCTTTAAATAGTAAGACAGCCATTTTTACACTAACAAAGCATAGATTTTGCTTGTTTAGGACACATGCTTTCCACCAAGTTATGTTTTCACAGAAAATAGATAAGCAGAAATAATTATCTCCTAAAGCAGTGACTTATAGTTCTCAATACTAATTTTCAAATCAGATGTTATTTTGTGCAAATTGGCTTAATACAGTTAGCTGCCTGTTTGATACAAACTAATCAGTGTGGCTAATGACTGGGTTTCATAGAATCATAGAATCTTTTAGGTTGGAAAAGACTTTTAAGGTCATGAAGTCTAACCATGAACCTGTCACTGCTAATACCACTGTCAAACCACATCCCTAAGCACCTCATCCACACCCCTCAATTACCTCCAGGGATGGTGACTCAACCACTGGCCTAGGCAGCCCATTTTTTTGAAAAACAGTTTCATAAACTCTTTACTTTGAAGAGAATATCTGTACTAAGTAGAAGAAAAATGTTGAATACTTCCAAGCATGCCTCCTTATAGAGATCACCAGAGTATTTACCTTGAACTTACTACTACAGTCCTTCCTCTAGGAGAACTGTAACGTCATCATTATTTCCAGGTAAAAGTAATTCATCACTCAAAAGCTCATACGGAGAGTCCAGTCTAATGACCAGCCCTAGGAAAGCAGTCCTAATTCACAACCCCACGCAGTAACTACCAGACCACCCCTGCAGTACTTCATACTCCAAGATCACAGTGGAAATTCAGCATTTATAGCTATGCCGATTAATGGCATCATCAGTTCTTCCAAGTGCAAGTCACAGGGCTGCTACCGTGGTCCACTGAATAGTGCCATGCGTGTTTTTTGCTTCCTGTGTAATGGCTGTTTGCACAGTGAGCAAAGTGATCCTCTCTTGTGTGTATACCAAACATCCACTTTCTGTCCAAGTACGCAGTGATTTCTCTCTAGGTATTATTAAATGTACAGTAGGTATTTTCACTTCAAGATACCAATAGTGTTGGCAGTGACAAAGGCAAGATCCTTACGGGAAGATGATGGATAATGGATCACGTTTTTCTTCCCGTATTTGGAAGACTAATTCTATTACCTTGTCTAAAAAAAAGAATCCCTCTTATTTCTACCTCGACCTATTCTCTGAAGCATGAAAACAGTCACCTCTTCCACGCACATGTGTCCTGAATAGTCTGTTTCAGAGCCTAACTTTTCAGAGTTCTAATATCAACAACCTTATCCAATTACAAAACAAGGAGGCTAATGGCTTACAGTTACATCTCCCAAAGAGACTGTTGAGGAAATGCATGCATTTCTTTACAGTGCAACAAATTATATCCTGCTGGATTCTCCTCTTATTTGGATGTGAGGTAAAACTGTTTGCAGTTCCAGTTGAAAACCTTTCTTTTTTGGTAATAATAATAAATCAAAAAAAAAAAAAAAACCCACAAACCAAAACCCAAACCAACAAACAAAAAAACCCACCACATTAAAACACAGCCTCTTTTCAGAATAAAAAACCAAAGATTATTTGAGAAAAGTTAGCCTTACCCAGGAATTTCCATGATTTTTTTTTTCACAGCTTCATACCTCATCACCGTTCTGCACCGTAATGAAGTGGCTGGATACACCAAGCTAAAAGATTACCTCTGGCGCTGCACAGTGTACAGGAAAAGCCTCTCCTGCACCTCTGTGGCACCCCTTTTCCTTCCTCCTCTGCAAGTGGTATAAATGCAGGGACAGTCTCTTTCTACAGAGCTGCTATCTTCCACTGGTCCTTACTGCTAGGACTACTTCATTCTTATTTTAACTGATTTCACTGATAGGTGAAGATGCCAAAGGCTATCTTCTCTCTATCAGCAGTCACACTGCTGAGAATCCAGAGTAAGCTGTGCTTAGAATTCCCGTACTAGCAAAGAGATTGGTTGTAAACTAGCAGGTCTGGTATTGAACCATTTAGTCATGTATTAACTTAGCACAGGGTAATTCAAAAGGTCTTGCACATCTCTTCAAAATATTTCTTCAAATAAAAATGCAATGCAATAAACTGAAATAAACCATTAGATGCATCTCTCCCTTCACCAAATTTGATTTATTCCTTTCTTGTCCTTTTATATAGGGATGAAGGATTAGTAGGAAGATGGTAAAAATAGTTTGTTTCAAAGATGGCATTAATATACCCACGTTCAATTCATAAGCACCACCATTCACTGCATTAAGAATCAGTGCTGCAAATGTGCTATTCATAGCTTATATTTCTGTTGGTCTGTACCCCCTTACCTAATGTCATTTCCTAAAACTGTATTCTCTACGGAAAGGTCACCAAACTTTGTTATTCCAGCTCCACAGAAAGTTTTGCAATTCAGAAACTTATTGCTTTGATGTTCCTTCACATACCATCAAGACCATTATGGTGGCTGTAGTTTCTTTTTCCCAAAATACTGAGCGAAGAGTGACTGGAGGGTGCAAGCAGTCGTTTTGCACTGGGACTCTGGAGGCTTGGTGTCGACCTGATTACACTGGGCTTGACTGCGGGATGAATCTCTGCGACAAAAGAGAGATAGAGATTGATCATACTTGACTTAAAAAAATAAATAAATAAGAATAGTCTACTCAACGTTAAATTTACATTTCAGTTTCTAGAGAAAGTTAAGTTTCTTCAGCATGAGCATGTTTATGAGACCTTGAATAACAAGTGAAACCAGTCTTCACACCTACAGTTCTTCCATATCAGAAAAATCTATTTCACTTTGGATTGCCCAAGTTCAATACTGTGGTGCAGATGTGTAAGGATTTCAGAGATTCAAGAGTTAGTAAGAATCAGCCTGAAACAGGTCTGTCTTTACATTTTCCTACCGCTTTGAGGTTTGTATTGCAGCTACACCACTACAGCTTTGTATGCAAGCAAATAAAAGCATTTTACTATAGTGAAATCACCTCAGTATCTCAAGCTACTCAGTATTGTCTGTCACAATAACAAGTTTCAAGGGATCTTCCCAAACACAAGTCGTCAGGTGCAAGAAGGCAGGGAGTCAGCCACAGCAGGGCTCTGAAGCTAAAGTACCCCAAAACTGCAGCAGGAACACAAAAATCATTAAGCCAGGTACTGTCAGGCTCGCATGTAGAGTCATCACTGGGGAATTTCAAACAACCCAGGCTATCTGAGATGGTTCACAGAGTAGGATTATTTTGTAGAAGGAGGAATAAAGATGAGTAAGGGGCAGTGTAACGCATCTGGCCAGCACATGTCAGGGTGGCAGCTGCTGTGTTTGCCAAAAGCTGACAGAGTTGTATGGAAGTTTCAGTTATCTGCCAGATTAAAGAGACAAAAAGGCAGCCTCAGTAGCGTCTGCTCGTCCTTCACCAGGAATTTGCTGAACCAGTTAACTTATTCCCACTTCGGTTCAAAAAGCCCAAATAAAATGAATAAAGAGTAGAGGCTGGGAATATGTAAAATGGAAAGTGAGGTCAGGTCTCCAGGGAGAAAGCCCTCCAGCCTCCACAGTGATCAAGCAGGAGGAACAGCAACCATTGCACAAAGGGAACGGCATGCCAGGAGGAAAGAATGCCACCCTTCGTCACATTTGAAAAGACTTGGCTTAATCGGTAACCACTGGTTGGGTCAGAGCTTGCAGCCGTGCCCTGAAAGCACCAACACAGATTTGGGGGTGCGTGTGCGAGAAGGCCAGTTCGACGTCATCCATCTCCTCACCACTGACTGAGGTGAGAGCTTCTGACTGCCCTTCGCTGCAGTACTCGCCTGCTTTCCACACGCAAGAGTTAAGGGACAGCAAGCTCCCAGCAGATTTCAGGGCACTGCCCATTTCTCATGCTGTTGAGAAGCAGCATCTATTTTGTGTTTTTACTAAAATGGGGACAGAGGTGTGCGCGATGCTGTGAACACAACCGATGGCTAAAGCAAAACTTTCACCTGAAAAGGAAAGGTTTGCACAGTTTGCTGAAGATGACTGGAATCTGGATTCTGAAATGCTCATTTGGCAATCTTTTCCAGTTTTCTGAAGGAAATGATTAATTTTCAGGGCTAACACCACTAAAATACTATCTGCCAATGAGTGCTCTGGAAGCATCCACAATAATCCCAGCAGCTGGACCAACATACAAGAATTTGTAAACTGCTCCTGTCTACAGTGTATAGGAGAAATAATTATATATTTTCAGGATGAGTGCACAGCTGAAGGAAGCATTTCCTTCCTTCGACTTTTCTTCAGCCACTAATCCTACATTAGTTTACCACAAAGACTGTCCTTTCTCTTTCTGTGGTAGAGGAAAGCAGCAAAACCAAGGTCCCCTTTTAAGTTCTAGAAAGGAACTTAATTAACCAGCCAGGACCACTTCCCAATGGACTGAACTCTTCCTGTGGGGTCTTCACACCATACGCAAATCCCCCACATACAGACTTCCTTCCAGTTTTTGCGTGCTTTACATCAGCATTTTCTAACCAGCTGCTTCATCACCCCTGAGAGAGGTAATGAGGAATTTCAGAGGTTTTGCCTGAATTATATTGTGTCATCATATTAGTGTATTATGGAATAACAGTAATTAGAAATCTTTTAGTTCCTGCTGCTATTATCCTTGGCCTATTGCCTAGTACTTCACTGAAAACCTCCAAGGCACCTGTACCTTCTGCTAACTCTGGGAACTAACAAGAACATCCAAATAATCCAAATTATCCCTGGAGCCACACAACAAATAACCAGTTGGCCAGATAATAAAAATAAAACAGAAACAATACTTGAACAATCTACTAGGAACCTTTATCACAGGACCAGGATGGAGCCTCAAACAAGTAGGCAGCAGAAACAACTCTAAAAACTTCTACTTCCACTAATGTCACTAGGGTACAAAAAAAAATCCACAGCAAACAAGGAAAAGTCAAAGTTTCCTCCTAAAGTCTTTTGAATAGCATCCTGGATTCCAGAGGTGCTTAAGCAGCTGCACCTCTGTCTCCCCAACATGCATCCCAGCTGGAAACATCAGCCTGGTTTCCTCATAACTAGGTCATACAGGACGTTTAACCAGCCGGGGGACCTGCCCAGGGCGTTTGTTTAGTTAGCACAGTGACGACTGAAGAGGTTACAAGGGAACAGCCCCAGCTCTCCAGAGGACAGGGCCTGCTTTTAATGCTTTATCTACCTCACCTGTGGAACAGGCAGCCAAGAAAAGGAACAGGGATAAAGGGAAGCGATGACCCAGGATGTGCAGGGCACCAAAATCCTCTCTGCCTTACCAGGAGTGCTGAGAAACATAGTGCCCTGAGAGAGAGAGTTAACTGTATTCCAGTAAGTGTCTGTGGGAATGATAGCATGGAAGGAATTGTAAGAAGAAAATAAATGCCTACTGTATAAGCTATGACAAGATAGAGGATGCTAAGTTTTATGAGAAAAATAAGGCAAGCATTACTTCTTCACTGGAACATGCAGCAAACACCCCAAACAAGCGAAAAACAACCACAAAATAAACTAAAAAACCCCCCACCAAGCTAAATGGCAAAAAAATGCAGTTTTCTAGCCATCTGTACACCACTGATTCAGATGCACATCCACAACTGCACTGGGTACACTTCATACCCCTGCAGCATCGATCACTTACCCTCAGCTGCAGCGACATCACTTCCCACAGTCCAATGCCAACAGCCTCCACAGACACCTGCTCTATTTTAGTGCTGTTAGTTTCCTACAAAACCTTCCCCTAGGCGCACATAATGCTGTCTGATGCTGTTCATCCCCCTCCCCCCAGCCCCCAACTAAATAGCATGGCCCTAAAAACATGCAGTATCCTCCAAGATGGCACATGCCGCCATTTCTTCTTTCAGCTACCCAGACGGGGTCAGCGGGATGGACCATCCGTCTCCTGCCAGACCTGCCCCCTCACCACCACAGCTCCGTCACGCCAACCAAAGAAGTCCTCTCCTCATCCCCTCGAATGCCAACATGCGGAACGCACGCGGCTGGGACACCTGCAGGAAATTATCACGGCCCTTTTTCTTAAACTCCAGGGCAGGAGGGAGCAAAATTCAGCAAGTGGGCATCTCTTTTTCACTACCCAGTTTTCTGAAATATGGATTTTGTTAAATCTGACGCTCTGGAAGAACACTTATGACCACGTTAATAGCTGATTTCTATTTCAGTAAGTCAAGAGATTGTTACCGTTTACTGTGTTCTAGCACAAACCAACTTCTTGTTGACTGAAAAAAAGAGAAAACACTTAGAAGGAGCTCTACCTTCAGCTTTACGTCTGTAGAATGGGATTAACACTGCAGAATTAGTCACTGCTGCTCTGATCAATGGAGTGATTTCTATATTCATTTAAGGATTAACGCAAAGCCTCTGGGGGAGCCCATCTCTCATGAGATAATGTAAATATTCAATGGTCAGTGGTGGTTCCCAGCAAAGACGACTACATTCATTTTTTAAATAAGGAATCACAATCATAAGAATTTTTTTTCTACTGTCTTATGCGAGTAACTTGACCATCTGGCTACGATCTCAGTACAGATCTCACTGCAATGTTGAAAATGATGTCATCAAATTAAGAGGTCAGTGTCTCATCATGGCTGAAGTCTGCTCCTTACAAGTATGTGGGAATATTACAAGTGGATTCAAGGGACACAGTAGAGGAGCACTGTGCATACCGAGTATCTCATCCCTCCTTTGAGTGCTTACTTATTTAGACTGGCAGAATATTATTCACATTCTAAATTAGATCAGATTTCATTCCACCACTTTAAACCTGGAGTATCAGGCAACCTTCTGCCTACATCCTGCAAGTTCAGTCACCCAGTTTTGCAGCCCATAGTAGACCAGAACTTTCATCAATTCATTAACTTTGTAATACTCTTTTTATTACAAGCATAAATCTCTCATTCCATGCGTATAGGGTTTTTAAGTATCAGTAAATACAGAATGCTCATTTGATTAATTTTTTCCTCTGGAGGCACATACCCACCTAAATACCCAATGATACATGACAGTGGTTTTCTGGTGCTTTTGATCTTCAGAGGATTTCCAGCCACTTCACAATGTCGATCTGCATCTGAGAATTTTAAAGAATGAAACGTTTAAATATTCTACCATTACAAATATAATTAGGATGCACCAACCAGTCTGACTTACATTTTTACCACAAATTTTGTTTTTCCTTTTAGCACATACTCTTCTTGGTTTTTTCATCATTGACAACACCGATAGATATTTAAAAGCAGGCCATGTCCTCATTCATGCAAGTAATATTTTTTTAAATTTTTTTTAGAGTAAGTTACAATACAAATTTTATTGCATTTTTTGCCTACAAAGTCTTTTTGGAGACAGTCAGCTAGGCAAATGAAACACAGACAAAAACATGAGTACTAAAATAAATGCAGCGCTGGCTATTGAAAAGCATTTACAAGAAATCCTGCATTGTTTTCTACAGGCTTCTCTGGCCCTAAACAGAGTAATACAGAGGTAAGAAGGATTTAAAGTTGGGACTACTGATTTTGGTCATGGACTACTCACATGGTATGGTGATTCGTATAGTTCTTAATAAGTTAAACACAGTGCAGGGGCTATCCTGGCAAGATGAAGCTTAAAAAAAAACCCAACCAAATCAACCCCCCAAAAGCCTTTACTGTGAACTTTTGAATGGTCAATTGTAACCACAAACGACAAAGCTCAAAAGTCTCAGATAGGAACTTCTTGCAAAATAACTGAAAATAAGCAGTTCAGTAACTACCTTAATTTGATGCTAAAACTATGAACTCACAACTTAAAAGGCACTGCAAATACACAAGCAGAAAATCTGTGTAAATGCCCCGAACATCTAAGTGTTTGTTACTATGAAGACATCCATGCTCAGGCAGTGGAATCCACCAACCTAAGGCAAAATTCACAAGATGCTAGGTTTCAGTAAATAGTTCCAAAACTACTGGAACTATATATATATATTTTTTTTTTTAATGACTCAGAGTGACTGGGTTATCTGTCTTGCAAAAGCACATAAGTAATCCCCGTTCTAAGGCTTCCAGTACCCGTAGAACACAATTCTGTTTTGTAGAAAACAGCATTCATCCACTGATTGCGTAGATCTAGAATTCCCTCACAGGGAATTACTTCCCACATACACACACCTACGTATACACCTTTCTTCCTATAGGTTTCACACATGCACAGGCAGATCTGCGCTTTCTAACAAGCTTTACAAGAGCTTCTAAATGGATTATACCAACTGCAATTTTCACTTTGCCTTCATCTTCTGTTTTCCTAAAACATTCCTGTTTGTTTCATGCCAGCAAGATATGGAGTACATAGGCACATGAAGAGGATAAGACATTATACAAAACAATTTGTATTTGTGAAGAAACGCCAGATTTGTAATCTTTATGTATTCTGTCTAGCTATGTGCAAAAAACCTGTAGACCATGAAACAACAGCAATGACTGAAATACGCATGTCAGTATGTTCACAGATGTTTTTAAGGCAGCAGACAATGCACAACTGAGTTCAGCGCACTGAAGAAATTACTTGAAATTCTTACGTGTGCGAAGCGTCAATGCTACCTGGTATCTGGGAAGCCCAAAAGTTTCCAGAGCCCTAACACTGAGTACACAAAACACTTTATTATTTTCCCTTAATAACAAAATATACTGTTCTCAGTGAAAAAGTGAGTGAAAAATTCCTAGTGCCTGAAATACTTTTAATATTCCACAACACTTGAAATATTTTAAGTGACAGAGCGGAATGATGCGTCTCCACTGTCTCCCTCAGTAAAGTAAGCACAGACTATACAGCGAGTATTTTATAGCTACTTTGGGAACAGCAAAGCATCGCCTAAGAAGCAATTAGCAAGAAAATTTTCCATCTACATGTCTTCGCTGTAAAAAGAGACACTGAATCATGGTGAGATATTAATACGCTGATGGAGAATACAGACTGCAGAGAGAGCACAATTTCCATGCTTGAGGCAAAGCATGTTCACCAAAGGTATTCCAAAGCACGCCAATCGGTTAAAACAGTTAAGTGTGTTTAACAGCAGCGAACTTTAATCCACAATATGGTACTCCCATGAATAATATAATAAAGTGTGTGATCCTTATGCACTACATACAGAAAAACACAAAGGGAGATTGTGCATCACTCTCCAGGGTAAAACCATTAAATAAAATTTAGGTAGGAAGTTGTCAAAAACAAAATTTAAAAAAAAAAAGTTCCAAAATCAAATATGGGCTTTCATGTGAACAATAAAAAGCTTAGTAAGATCAGTGAAATATTGGAAGCTATGAGATATAAAAAATGTATTTAAAAAATATATATTTTTAAAAAAAGGCGATTTGGAGCGTTTTGATAGTACATTTTTTCAAATATATCAAAAGCAGAAAGTGTACTGGTGCCTGCAGGAATAGATGATGGTCAAGGTGTGAAGAAAACACAGAAGAAACGTAAAGGCATTGCAGAAAAGCTGAATTAACTCTTCGCAGCCGTGTTCACTGCAGAACTTAAACAAGCTCACTTGCCAAACCCTTTTATGAGGAAATTGTGAGAACTGTGTCACATCTAAGTGTCCGTAAGAAATATTTCAAAGCAAACTGGTTAATGAATAAAAACAAGTTACCAGGAGCGAGTGGAATTCACGCAAACAGAAACCGCTGAGCACGTACACCTCTGGTGTTTAACTAATGCGTAAACTGGTCTTGGTTCAAGAGAACAAAAAAAGGGTAAACGTGGTAATGTTCTTCAGTAAGTAGGTCTGCAGGCTGGCAAAAGGGCTGGACTATTAATAGAGGCATGCAGTTAAACAGGGAAATACCAAGGGAGCCAACAAAGACCTTGCAAAGGGAAAACATGGTTCATGTGCTCACATTATTCAGCGGTGTGACCTTGCAAGTACAAGGACGACCGCACGCTGGGCCGTAGTAGCCCCAGCGCAGTCAGCAGGGTGAGGGAGGCAGCCCTTCACCTCTACTCAGCCTTCATGACCCCACATCCAGATCCTGCATCGAGGTCTGGGATCCCCACCATAAATGGGATAGGGACATACTGGATGAAGTCAGGCTATTAGAGGGTCCGGTTTGGGGTTGGATATAGGATGTACATGGAGAGTCTGAGGGAACTGGGTCTAGTCAGCTTTGAAATAAGGAGGCCAAGAGGGGACCTGCTAGCCACCTTTAACTACTTCGTGGCACAGCACAAAGACCAAGCCAGACCTTCTCGGAGGCACGTAAGGATAGGACAAGATACCCTTGCTGTCTGGTAACAGACAGAATCTGGGAGATGGGAAATTCTCCTCAGATGTAAGGAAAAGATTATGTACTGCGAGGTTCATCAAACACCCAAACAGGTGACCAGAGAAGCCAGAGTCTCCATCCATGGAGACAGACAAACCTCCTCTGGACAAAAGGCCCTGAGCACCTGAGCTTTGTGCAGGGGTGGGATCAGAGACCTCCAGGGATCCCTTCCTTACCTACATGACTTGTAAAGCGACGTTCCCAAGTGCCACAGGTCTGCCAGGATCCTCTGAAGGAACCATGACATGCACACATGCAGCTGATCTGGCATCCAACCTGGCACTTCAATTAGCCTTTAACAAACTGTCACCAGAGACAGGGCAAAAGGGAAGTTTTAATCAGGGAACAGCACCTGATTAACATTGTCTGTGCAACCCCCCAAAGATCCGCACTGTTCAACATATAAAACGTCAGTAAAAAGGGTGATTAGAGAGTTAAAGTTTCCTGATAACAAATTACTGAGCATAATCAAAGCTAAAACTGATTGCAAAGGCTATCAGCAGCATCAAGCAATAAACATAAATCAATCCTTAAGGGGTGAAATGACTATAACACAGATGTAATGATGGGTTCTACACCACCACCATGCAGAAGAGAATTCATGGAGTCAGTCTCAAAAGCTTTCTAAAAATATCTAGACAATACTAAAGAGTGGTTACATGAAAGAAAATTAACATCAGAATATTAGAAATTATGATGATAGGAAAACAGAAAACATGTGAGCATTTAAAATGATGGGGAAGCTTTATCTTGAAGTGCATGTAATTTGGGGCATCACAAGCCTAAGGAGGATACAGTACATTTAGAAAAACTCCAGGGAACAACATTACAAACATGTGTGGAATGGATTCTTTTAAGAGGTTTTAAACAGGCCAAGTTCTTAACCTAGAAAAGTGATGACTGTTGTGGGTAATACAGATGTCAATGAAATCAGGAATGCTACGGAGATGATAGTGAATGAGGTTTGCTCTTTTAGATTGAAAGTTTTTTTTTAATAATTTCCTTTTTTAAACTAGATTTGTAGGTCTCTCAAGCTTAGACACTCTCATTGGGGAGCTATTTCTCTTTGACATTCCATCATATCTCTATCAAAACTGACATTATATAATGAATGTACTGTGTTCTACGTATTCCCTGAACTGTATTCTTCTGAGAAGCTTAGGGGAAAAAAAAGTAGCATGTTATTTTAATTACGTTACTGGCTACTAAACTCTGGCACAAATTGTACTCAAAGATAACAGTAGAAAAATTATTCTCATCCCAGATGCAGCCAAAGTATCTTCCATAGCTATCAAAATCAAGGATGTAAAATATTGTGAACCAATACCTAGAAACATTACTCACTTCAGATGAATGGGCAGTTTTGTGTCAGTAAAACACACAGGCTGTGTGCAGTAACATTTTGCACATCCGACTTAATTTTCACTTGTCTTCGTTTTCTCAAGCCAGATTGTAACAAGGAAGTACTGTGCACCCAACTTGCTATTAAATCCGCAGATTTAAAGGCATGTTAAGTTTTGACCATGAACAGTATGCCCATTTCCAAGTAACTATACAGATAATATATACCATCCACTGAAAACATTTTGACAGTCACGTCTACATAGATGGAGTGTAGTTACCCAAATCCAAATTACTATAATTAATACATGTAGTTATATTGATAAAACTGTATCTGAGCAAGTGGGGGGAAAAAAAAAAATATCCCTCAAAAATCTTCCCGTGCTGACGTAATACAGATCACAGACATAAGGCTCACTACCACGCACGTATCAACATGCTTGCAAGCTGGTAAGAGATCCAGTCCTGTCAGTGGCTGTCTGGAGAGGAATGCCCACTTTGGTTTCCACTAATTAAGAGACCTTCCTTAGACCGGTTAGTTTTGCTTAACTATCTAAAAAACGTGCAATATATTCAAACTAATAAGCTGTTCTGCCTAATTTAGAGCGTGGGAATTTCCTCTTAATGAAACAGTGCACCAATTCTAATAATTCCTCAAAATCCCTCACACAAGTTCATTGTCAACAACTACACCGAGTCCATTATCCTCGGACAAAACAAAGCGGGAGATTTCCATGAGGTGCTGTGCTCCTAGCAGGAGATGCCATGCCTTCTCAACCTCCTGGTGACCATCCCTAGACTGAACTGGGATGTAAATGCATCTCCACCACCTCCTGCTGGTACCTGAGCTGGGGCCATGCTATACGGTTCATTAATGAGAAAAATCTATTTCTCTGCACTAACTGAAGGAATAAGGAACATCAAATAGGACCTTGTATTCTGCCAGTGGAGGTAATGGGCCGAGGGAGATGATGTGGGTGGAATTACAATAATAAAAATGCTCTGTCTGAAATCTGCGTTCACCCATGGCTGGGCCCAAGGTCAGCATTCTCAGAGGATTCCATGCTCCTCCAGGACAAAAGAATCATCTGCAGATGGGTTCAGGTGGAATGCAAAAACCAGTTTACCTTATGAGCAAGCTCTGTCTTGCTCAGCCTTTCTTTCTCAGAACCGGGAATTAGTGACATTTACAACCTGGCACTTAACAAACTGCATACGACTAAGACGACATAAAATCTGGTATGGTGCTAGGTATGTGCCCTACCATCCTCCTGCCTTTGGATGTTAAAGGTTTCCCAGTGCGAGTACGGTGCCTGCTGCAATTCAGTCGTGAAGCGCAGTGGCATTCTCAAGCACCAGTTTGGCACAGGCAGTCAGGTGTCTGATTAGATTCAAGTTTCAGCACACCAACAGGGAAAACAAATTCCAAATCAGCTCTTGGATTTCCTAACCATCTCATGCCTTAAGACCCCTGCCACTCTGGACAGTTATTGTCTAAGCACAGTTGTAACTTCTGTAACACCGACAGACATTACTGCTGATTAAATGTCATCTAAAATAAAAAAATTAAAATATTACTTGCATCGAGCTGTCCTTAGGAAAGGATTCAAGGCATTCTCAGGGAGAGAGCGCCTACTGAGTTATAGCATTAAAATCTACAGAGTGCACTGAACACAGGTCACCAGACACAACTACAGGAACAAAACTAGAAAACAATTTTTTAATTTATTTACTAGGCTTTACTAGAGTAAGAATATGACAAAGACAATGCAGGTAAGAGCACTGTAGGATTCCAAAGAGAGAAATACTGCCAGAAACTGAATATATGTGTGGGTATGTATGAGGGTATGTCCACAGAAAGAAACATAAGTTGAATTAATTGAGGTGTAAGCTGGTTTCCACTACTACAAGATAATTTGAATGTTGTATCCAAAAAAGGATTAATAACTCCCACTTCACACACACACACCACCCCCCCAATCTATGTTACATCTAATCAGGAAGCATCAGCATTTATAAAGACAAAATTGCAAGGTCCAAAATTTCTTTAGACAAAAAAAATAATGAAAGACAGACTACGGGGGGGGGGAAATCTTTCTGCTCTTGATGTTAATCTGACCTGTCACTTTTTCTTTCAAAGGAACAAAGGGGAAGCACTCACAGCATGGCCAGACTGATACAAGAATGACTAGTTCTTGCTGAAACACTCAGCTCTTCACTCCTTTGTTTTAAAGTTGTAGTATGTGTACACTTGCTCGAGTATGATAACAGCTGGATGAAACTTTTTTCCTCCTATTTTTTCCCTCTTCCTGAAACAAAAGCCTCATCTTCTTTCAAACTGAATTACTCCAGCGAGTGAGAAAAATAGGGACATCGACAAAAAGATTCAGAGTTCAACTGAACTGCTAAAATTAGTTTTCCTCCATGATTCAGCAGAAATCAGTGCCAATTATGCATATTAAAAGGTATAATTATTTAGTCTCAGAAAATACCTATCAGCATTAAGGATTAAATACATAATCCTAGTCCAGCCTTAGACACAATTCCATAAAATGCAACCCATATTATTCACACAGTGGACAGTTTCTTAAATCTGAAAGATGCTCCTGACTTGCACAGCTTTGACAGCAGAAAGAAAATATACAGCATAACAACTAAATAAGGCAAGGGTAATGAATAGAAATATTCACCAAGTTGTGGATGATTGCAGAAGTAAGCGAAGAGTTTGCATGCGAAGAATGGCTGGTGTTAAAGTACGCAAGGGGAAAATAATTACTCAAAACCAGATTTTGAGCCTTCACGGAGTAAATTTCTTACAATCAACAATGACATCATCAGCATCCCACTTAAATACACTGGGAAAACATTTAGTGTTAATCTAGTAAACAAAGCTATAAAACCAGCATCTGATATTCAAAAAAGATCTCTTAAATTCTAATACAATTAGCAGTATGATGAGCCAGCACAGCTCATTTTGGAATACCAAGTGTCTGCTCCAAGAACTGCACCTACGGAAGACCATGAAACAACTGTAACCAAACAGTGTGAGCAGTATAACAGCGCGCTCAGTGCGGATACTGTTGCTACCTACAACTCATAACCTTTAGTAATACTAACAGTGAGTTTATCAGTTCTTTCTATTTTGGATATAAAAAGAACAAGTATAATACAGAATTTTATTTAAAACTGGGACAAAAAAAAAGATGCAACTATGATGTAATAATAAACATGGCTATCACCACCATCTCATCACAATAACAAAGGGCTATATTAGAAGGCCAGATTTAAATTCTTACGCATCCTCGGCTCCTTATTCCTTGACCAACCCCACTGAGGAAAAAGTAGAACATGTACAGATCTATGCTTTCTGCTCAGCGAATTAGTGAGCAATATAAAAGCAAACTTCTTTCACACTGCCTAGTAGGAAGTACGGGTTTTATGTCACAGCACTGATCTCCCCTCCCTGCTCCCAATTTTTTTTTAATGGCAATTATTTGTAAGTGAATGCAGTAACAGTCATCCTCTTTTTAATTAATTTGAAATGTTTCCCCAGCCTGGAACCTGTTCAAGGCAGCCCGACTTTATCCAACGTGTTGGTGATATGCGGGACAAATGAAAAAAATGAAAAGCAAAAGTGTATAGACAAGAAATGTTTATTGAAAAAAGAAAATAAAATTAAAAGACAGAAATGGGTGGGAAGCACAGCACACAGAACTAAGAATTAAAAAAACATCTTACATTCTGCCTTAATGGCAGCACAGTTAATAGGGACAAAGGGACGTCTTGCTGCCTGCCGCAGCCGGAGGGTATTTTTGCAGACCTGACGGGCCAGTTTTGTCCAACACGTTGTGTGGAGAAAGAAAGCTTGACGTGTTTTCACCGCTGACTTTGGGCTCCCAGTGTTACGAACTGGAGTTCCCTGAGTGGCCTGCCGGGACATATGAGTTCTAACATGGGATTCCTACAAAATATCAAACAAATAGTCATAACACATACATGTGAATTACAGCATTAAAAAAAAAAATCCACAATTTGGGTAAAATTCACAAGGCTAATCAAATACTACGTATAATCACTATAGACAAAAATGAGACCTATGCATGAAGCTGTAGAACACAGAGTGAAGAACTACTGTGAGTGGCTATATAATAGCATTCTAAATCAGACACTGTATAGTCATATTAACATTTTATAGGTAACACATCCTTTAATTGACAAGATTACATTTGTCCACCAAAAATGCATGAAGAAGATGCCTCTTTACTTAAGACATAGTCAAATAAAGACACGGCAGGACCTGTACACCGTTCAGCTCTACTTCAGACAGGAAAAGGATGACTAAATTGTGTTGTGCGATATCAAAGTTGAACACACGCATAAATATTCACATCACAGCAGTCTTGTAAAAGCACCGCATTTTGTTTTAGGTAAGTTTATCAACACAGTCCTACCTCTGTAGGTTGGCTGGAAGACAGTTTATCTTCATCTGTCTGTGTGGGCATTTTCAGGCCACCATATTTCTTCCAATAAATCCAGCAAGATGCACACAATCTACACTGCATGTTAGGAGGACCCCAAGAATACCACTGGTGAGACTGTGGAGCTAAGAAGGAGAAAACAGCACAGGTAAACTGGTGCATGCTACATTCAATGTATTAAATCCAAATGCTATTAAAAGATATTATAAGAGCATAATAGGGACAAATATTTAATAATTTGACATGGAGAAAATAACAACTTGACTTTATAGTTGATGTAGTTTTCCTAAGAGCAACCCAGAAGTCAACTCCAAATGAAAATTTCAAAAATGCTTCGCTATTTAATTTCAAAACAGGAACTTTGTATTCCCAAGAAGATATTTTGTTCCAGGGTACTACCTCAAAAAAACCCACCCCAAACCACTCTCTAAATCCTCTACTATTTCTAATCCTAGTCTGGAAGACAGGCTTATTACTCTCATTGTTACTTATCAGAATTACTTAAGATCTGGGGTTTTTGCTCCAGTCATGCAAAGTGCACACTTACACAAAATCAAGATCCATATAAGAAAAAGGCAATAACATCTCCTATTGATCTTGAAGATGCATATGTACCTTTATCTTGTGCATGTGGAGACTTAGCAGGAAACACTAATTTAATCTTTTTTCTTTTTGTAATTTTTCACAAGAAAACTATTTTAAAAAAAACAACAAAGTATGTAACTGGAATTTTCTGCACACAAATATGGTTTTAATTTAATTGGTGTTTAAGAGACAGATAGCCATACCAATGATAAGTGAAGAACGCTCATATGGCAGGCCTTTCCAATTCTTTCCATGTCTGGATTTTATTATACATGCTCTCATATAACCTATGTTGAAGGCTGCTATTTCAAGTCCAACAAGGACCACCAGAAACACAGAAAATACTAAGAAAAAACCAACACATCCTCCACCCGCTCCCCAACAGAGGGGAGTGATGTTAAATCGATATATTGAATGCAACTCCAACTTAAAACAGTATTTCTGCCCCACCAGTCATTGAAAATTATCCTCTGTAGTGTACAAACAAAAGTACGTACATTCCTTTCTAAAAAACAATGTATATTAGGATTAGCCCAAACTAATGAAGTATTAAAAAACCACCGTAAATGTACTTACTGTAGCAGCTTTCACAAGCCCGACCTATTACTGTGGGCTGTGCCTGGTAAGAGGCTCCCATTGCTCCGTTGACTGCAGCAGGTTTCCCATTGTTGCTGGATATTTGATTGGGATTTGGTTTATTGCTTTAAATAGAACAACAAAAAAAGTCATTTTACTAAATGGTTAATCAACATAAAAACAATTTAATTCTGGAATTCTGATGTGTGGTGACAAAATCTGGCAAACCTGCTCTAAACAACAAGCCTAATTTTATATACTCCTCTAGTATTTTTAGCACTGGGAGACTTGCTATGCACAGAGCTGCTTTGATACTCAAATTACCTATATTTGTTAAATGCTCTCACAAGGTCTAAGCCACTTGGCAAGCTAGTAAAAGACCAGGTCTCAGGGACAAGCATTAACAAAAGCCTGAAACGGCACAGGCTACAAGAATAGGGTTCCAGTCAACAGATAAGGCTTTACAAGGTGAGCCTGGCTTTGGGTGAAGTGTAAGAAGACATATGAGCAACACTGCATATAACACTACAAGGCTGTCCAACCTAGAAGAGAGTCTGCTGTCAAGTAGGAGCACGCACCTTCCCAACTGCACTAAACGCGAGTGTCCTGTAACCCTGGCAAAGCTCACCCGTATGTCAGTCCAGTCTGTCTGGGTTCTGTCCCAAACCTTCTCTCCTAGAAGGCTGAAGAACTGGTTTAAGATATTTTTTTTGGTTTATTATCGTATGATTATTGTGATTATTTTACCTACTAATACTTGAGTAAGTAGGGCTTTACAAGCCAGTTCAGAGATTGATTAATTAATACACTCCTCACTAGGTTAGGTACAGTATTTCCATGGCACCAGTTTTGTGGGTGTTAATTACTGCTTTGACCAACCATACCTTCAATACAATGCAAAGCAGAATACACTGCCCCCTAAAATGATTCGTTCCTTTAGGTTGCCGTGCTGGTTTTAGTCAAGACACAGTTAATTTTCTTCACAGTGGCTGGTACAAGGCCGTGTTTTGGATTTGCACTGATAACACTGGAGGTTTGAGCTGGTGCTAAGGAGTGTTTGCACTAATTCAAGGACTTTTTTAACTTCTGATACTGCCCCTGTGTTTCCAACTTTCTTGCTACAGGTGGCTGGGAGGGGACACAGTCCTGACAGCTGACCCAAACTGACCAAAGGGGTATCTCATGTCATAAAATGTCATGTTCAGTATGTAAGCTGGGGGCACTGCTTGTCAGTTGGCTTTCCCAGTCACATTCTGGTTCGTGGGGCTCACTGACTCTGGCGAGATCCCTCCCTCTCAGGCTCTCTGACTCTTGCTGCTCGGGACCTGGCTGGGTATCAGTCAGTGGGTGATTAGCAGTTTTATAATTTGTTTTATTTTCCATTATTTTCATTACATATTATTATTAGCAGTAGTATTTTCATGCCATATTATTAGTAGTATTGTTAGTATTATCAGTGTCACTATTTTATTCATTTATATTCAATCACTAAATTGTCCATGAGTTTCCTTGTCTTTTCCTCTGATTCTCCTCCACCACTGGAGGAGGGGAGGTGAGTGAGCAGCTGCGTGGTAGTTAGTTGTGGGCCGGGGCTACACCACAACAGTTCTGTAAAATATATTCCAGATTAGTTAAAATGAGTAATTGAAGAAACCTTTGCTGTATCAACTCTCTACTCCAAATGCCAGTAAGTTTGTTTCCTGCCTTCTGCTTTTCCACTACATCCAGTGAGAGACACTTCTACAGCTTCCACACTTTATCGAGTACCTTGGGCTCAAGGTACAAGAGAAGGGATCGAGAGACGATCGATTAAGTCTCCCATGTTATAATCTGTTGCTTAGTTACCCTTCCACAGAAGCCATGAACTGAAAGGGATTCTCTGGTATTGAGGACAGAACCTTGCTTTTACATGAAATATCTTTTGATCAAGTTCAAAAAGGTACACAGCTACGAGAATCAATTCTACTCAGATTTCAAACACAATAAATCAGTCTTGAAACAGCATTAGCAATCCATTTGCCCACGAGTCCCCCCACACCGCACAGTTAAATACTTGAGAAGTCCTATTTCTCACCATTCCACGTTCATCATTGGTTATGGATTTTGTCTTGACACGGATGCAAGAGACAGACACTAAGAAAGGTAAAAACTGCAAAAATCCTACAGTTCAAAACAGGCTTTGTTGTCCAATACAACTAGTCCCTACTGTGAACATATTGGCAAAAGTCCTGATTTGTCCACATGGACCAAGAAAATTAAACTGAAAAACCATTATGTGAAGACTGAGCATCTTAAGAGTTTTCCTAAAGCAGCCACTTCCCTGAGAGTTTTAGGGAACGCTCATACTACAGTTTTCAGCTTTTTTTAAAAGGCATCATTTATTACAGACTTGAGCTTCAAAACTCCCATTTTTTGAGGGAGATGAGATTAAGAGACTGAATTTAACAGTCTGCTGTTTATATTACTAAATCTGTTTAAGAGAGAAAAGTCTGTATGAAATATGGAAATGAAGGTCTATTATATGCCATTTCTACAAGTCATCAAAAAGACAAACGTGGATTTTCAAAGTACTTCATTTGCTATTCTAGTCTTCCATTATACAAACACTCATAACAATGGGAAATTCACATACATGTGAACTGAATATACCCACAGAAAGCTTAAAAACATGTCATCTGTAATCCTTCCTCTTTTCATAACCTTGAGGAAATTATAAACACGAAGGAGACAGATTATATCTTGTTCCTGTAAACTACACGTTAACAAGAGCAGATATAACATCAAGTTTAAATCTTAAATCCCACACCCTCATAAGAAAACAAATTTCATTAATAAGGCTTGTTCAAAGATAAAATATTTTGGGCTACCTTTAATTGACAACCAGAACATCTCTTGTCTCTAGCTAAAGAACAGACTGTATCAGCAAGATAAAAATGCAATGGGAAAGTACCTGACTTTATTTTAAGTAACTACGTTAACAGCTGCTTTTCTTTTGGTGTATTAAATTTACACAAATATGAAGTGTTGTGCTACAGATATTCCGAAGCGATTATTCTGGAAAAACTGATTCCTAAATGCTAAGGACCTTCTTGCACGTGAGCAGTCCACACAGCACTTGATCACCTTTTGGAAAACTTCTCACCATTCCAGAACAGGCAGTGTGCAGGTCAAAGACAATGGGGTCAGGGAAGAACTAAGGTTTCACTTATGACAAGAGTTTGTGGTGTTTTCTGTCTATATCTCTCTATATTCTGTTTGTATCTAACAAATATTTAAAAAGCAACTATTAAAAATTCAACAAAGAAAATATCAAGCATGTTACTGTTTCAGTTTTACGTGTACATTATTCAAAAAAAAAGACTTTATTGTTATACTCACTAGGTGGGGATGTATACTTGTTTCAATTTACTTTCTGCTTCAGCCGCTTTCAGACGTTTCTAGTTGAAAAATTAACACATTAAAATATTTTATTATACTGAAGTATGAGATTTCATAAAACTGCACACAATCCATCTGTAAATTATTTCTATTTTGTGACTCCACAAGAGCCTCCAAAACAAGCGTAGAAATCGACAAGATGAAAACCATGAAAAACAAGTTCTCCATTTTTACTATTAGTTTGAAATTACAGTACACTGTCCTCCCCAGTAGAACTCACAGGCCTCACTTATGACAACATAACTGTAAAACGCCAATTACAACTTACATAAATTACATCTACATACGATGTTGTGGCTAACCCTCACTGCAGATTAAGTAGTAAATAAATGAATGAAACTGCACACGATGAGCTCAGTCATGTAACTCAGTAGTGCTTGTGTGCTCTGCCAAGCCCCGGGCGAGCAGAAGTAGCGTAAGGAAGGGGAACAGTAAAGTCCACTGATGATTAGAAATAACGAAACATCTACTTCTGTTAAGTGCCATTAAAACCATAGCTCAGGAACACAGCGGTAGCAGGCCAGCTACACTGCTATTGGCTACTAATAACAAACTATTACTTTATTCATACTTGCAGCAAACTCAAAGCATGTTGCACTCAAGGTAGTAATACAAACTTCTACAATTTTGAGAAGTTTTAGTTATTGCCATATATCAGACAAGTAAGGAGACCAACAGTATTTTTCAGCAATGGCACCAGAAAGAAGATTCTGCTGGTTATCCAAATTTTTTGTCTGTATGTAAGAAAGGAAGAAGAAAAAATATTATTTCCCTGTTCTTCCTGTCCTCAAGACATTAATTCTGTTCACTTGGAAAAAAAGAAAAAAGAGGGGCTGGGGGATGCATGGGGGAAGGAGTTGGAACAAAGTCACTTTTATTCACAGAGAAATTAAAAAAAAAAAGCGTCCAGGAACACCAATATCCAGCAATAATAAACCAACACTACCTCCTTGCCTCTCAAGATTCTCCCTTTCTTTATCAAGTGTTTAAAACTGAGTCGACCATTTCTCCTACAACAGCCAATTCTCTTCTCTTCTGTACTCCTATTTTCTGATATCCTATCTTTGCAAGGCTCAGAGTTCAGGAAGGTATTTCCCACCTTGAGAAAAGTATTATCAACAGACTGCTCTGAGAGTCTCTTGTCTGAGCCCGGAGGTGAGTTGCAGGGCTAATCGGCTTTAGTGGTCGAGCAGCCCGAGTCAGCCTCCTCCCCTAAGCCACTGCTCTTCTCCATTTCAGAAAGCTGCCATCTGCCATCCCTTATTTATAAAACCTGTGTCTTTGAGGAGCAACGTATGGCAAATAGACTCCTAAGCAGTCCATGACACCACAAATTAATTCCCATGCAATATGAGAGCCCTCTTCCACTTATTTCCAAGATTCACTTTTTCTTAATAACAGTTTTTTGCTGTTCACACGTGCCGAGTAGCGTTCGGCCCTACAGAAGTGACTTCCACCTAGTGCAGTTACAGTCTTTCCCCAGCACCAGGCTTGGCAACTGTCTCTTTTTCCTTTCCATAAAATACCCAACAATCCATATCTTGTTTTCAAACTGAAAAAACACATGAGACAGCCGATCAGCAAGTAACACGCGTCCCACGGAGGTTCATAACAACCTGGTCCCATTCCACAGAAAGAACGGATAAATCTCACTGCACACTGTGCAACGTCATCGGAGGAAAAGAGAAAAACACAATAAAGGGAAAGGAATGAGGAAAGAAGCCTTGAAGCACTGTCAAAACGTAAAAGCATTTGTAGGAAGTTGTATTAAGCCCCGATGGCAGCGTCAGTGAGAAGTGACTATACACATTAATTAAATATTAGCATATTTTTAATACTGGCATGGGGGCTGTAAGGAATGCAATTGTAGCGTTCACTTTATTTACTAAAGTGAAACACATGCTGCCTTCTGCAAAATAATCACACAATGCCATTTCAATACAAGCTGTATTTTTGTGCATTAAAACTAGTTAACATTGCTCATTAAAAGCAACAGAAAACATCACAACCTGAACTCACACTGACCCATCAACTTTTAAGTACCAAGAGAGAAGAAAGGATGTAGACACACAACTATCAGCAAAGAGCTGCTATTTCTGAGACGAAACCTCTGTCTCCTGAAATTTAGAGGATGCAAACTGTAAAGGCTGGAAGTTGAAACTGAAAATATTCAGACAAGAAACAAAGCACAGGGTTGTAACAATGAGGGCAATAAAACACTGGAGCAATGTAACAGAGAGAGCTGAGACTTTTCCCGAATAAAAATTCACATCTAACCTTAAACGGTGTAAGTCATTCAAATAAGTCTTCCTGACTGCACTGCAGGGAAGGTCAAGCTACACTAACCTAGCATTTTACCTAGGGCTCTACTAGTTTTAATCAACTGCCCTTGAAACAATGCTATTTCTTTTTAAGAACTTTTGTTATGTACATCAACTGACAATTTTTTCCCTACATTAGTACTGTTTTCAGCAGTGGAAACAAATAAATGAGAGGGAAACACAATATATTGTTGTACTACTATAATTTAGTTATCCTTACCTATCTTCTCTCCTTTCCTATTGCAAAGCCTCAGTAAAAGTCTTTTTGCACTGAATCACATTTTTTAACACCACCACAGATAACAAGAACACATTTCATCCTGTGGCATGAGTCACCTGTCCTTCCTCAAACACTACATAATGTCGTGCTCAGGAGAAGTGCTGTCCCACCAAGAACGATTACTGAGGGCTTGAATTAGTTTTGCTAGACAGGTCCAGCACAGACTGAGAACTTTAACATATCTATTTCCCTTCACCTTGAGACTGAAGGGAACATGCTCTGGAGGCAAGGTGGCAGCACTATCTCCACTGCCATTAAATCACCACCTTCAGCTGCCGAGCACGAATAACATTTAGTAGCAGTTATGACAAGGAAACCTTTCTTAGGCCTGACACAACGCAGCCAATTGACAGACAGAAATGAAGATAATTAAAGAGCAAATTTGCATATTAAATCACACAGATCTAGAATTCGGAAACTGTATTTTACGCATAAGATTCAAGTACGTCAACCTTCTTGTTTTCCTGTTCCCCCAAGATGCCCTGCTCCTCAAGCATGATATTTAGAGAAGGATGACTCTGAAATTGCCACTTTCTAACTGAACATATTTTCTCCCTGAAATGCATTCAATTATCACAGCTTCTTCTGGTGGGGGAAAAAACCTTAGAGACATCATTTTTACTGAACTGTATTATTTTTACCATTCCATAACAAACTAAACAAGGGCAGGATGAAGTTCTGATCTCTCACCAGGACAGAAATCAGGTATGCGGCCTACACTGTTTTTGTTACTGGTGATCATGCATGACCTTGAAAGGACACATCTAAAGCATTAAATCCCGTGGTGTACGGCCATATTCCGAGTTAGGATGCTCTACATTTACTCAGTTACACGTAGAACACAGGCATTCATAACAGCATTCAAGTTGTAGATAACCATAAAGCCTATGTGTTTTTCTTATGTGTGAGGCTAAAAAAACCTAATCCTGCAAAGGATACACAAACTGAACACACCATCATACACCTTGATCACTGCAGCAACGTAATGAAGCCCTACAGAACTTCAGAGAGGGACTCTCAGTCCTACACCAAGCACTCCAGAGCAAGTATTTCAGAAAAATTTCACAGGAAACAAGATCGGTCTCTGAGCAACCCAAGAGTGCTGACAAAAGTCAATTTGCAATTCAATTTATCCTTACTCCATGGCTCTCGGCATCAATAAAATGTTTATATCTGATTCTTCAACATCATCCCTTGCCCAGTCCTTAAGAGCTGACAAACAGCACAGCAAATCTCTGCTGGCAACACCTTTCTAGGATGAAGGTTAACAGCACAAAAAAAAAAGTTAAAAGTAAAATGAATGGAGACAACCCCAGCAAAACATACTATTTTCTCTTTGTATTATCTGAAGAACTAAAAGGTCCTAGCGATAGTCTAAGACTCGACCATGTGGTAAAAGACACTTTTCTTGCTTTCCATACGCTAACAAGGTGATGTAGAAACAGTTCCAAGTAAACCAAAACAACCTGAAGCAATCATCCGTCTGACATACTGTAATAAAGGCAGCAACAATTCCAAAGATCCATCTAACAAGACAGCTGTAATCATTACAGCATAAGATTTATTTATTTCCAACACACTATACATACATCACCACTAATTACGCAGCACATAAAGCAGCTACAGACTTGGGATGTTAAATCTTAAATTACAGTGGAGTATTTTGAAATATTCTGTATATCTAAATCAAGTAGTAAATATATATATAGTACAATATATAAAAAGCACTAACACTGAAATTTTTCCTAAACCTGCTTAAAATAATCCTGTGTAGGTACACAATATAAGATTATGTTTCTGCTCCAGAGTAACCCAAACAATTCAACATTTAACACATCGTATATTCCATTTCCTTCAGTTCCATGCACAGCTTCACAGCCTAAACCATTTGCTCGGCAGCCCATTTCTTTCTTATCCCATACTGCAGTAAGAACCAGGAATCAAACTGCTACAAACCAGCATACAATACAAATAGCTTAAAAAGCTCTTCACAGCCATGTGATGCACAGCAGGCATCAGAGGATTTGACAATGCACCCTGTGATCAGCACAAAACCACTGGTCTATAGCCCAAAGTATTACTACCATAGGCCTCCCACCATATTTCTTTTTAAGAATACAGATTCTTATGCTTTAACAAGTTCAGATTTGTCAAGAACATGGCAGACTGGTTCATGCTGAAATAGCCATTAAATTACCTGCTGCACATATCTGTCGGTGGTTTTCCACATGTAATAATACTCAATGATGCTAGTCAGTGACTTCCAAGGGAGCTGAAAAACATTTGTTACAAATGAAAGTGGTCCCAAGAAACTGCAATGTCCACATCTTATTAAACACAGGTTAAAACCAAGTCTAGTTGGTACAGAAATACTAAAATGTGAATCCATTAAATACCTGTATTGAAATCCATATGCAAATAGATACATATTACCATTAATAATACACAAACTTTCTTTATAGTTAACGAAGATGCAGAATTACAACAATATTACACATCCAAATCCAAATTTAATTTATTCTGTTTAAGCCATATGGTTAAACAAAATGATCAAAACAGACTCCAGATTTCCATCAGGAAACACAGAAGGTAATCTCTCTATTATAAAGTGTATCAGATGGAGAACAACATCAGGACTAAAATAAATCATCTTGACAAGACTGTGTTTGAGCCTCATAACAATTTTACTCTTAAAAAAAATACAGTGGTTATTGTACTTAGCTCATAGGTTTTTCAAGTCCCATAATAACTCTGCTCATACAATACCACTAGTTTACATAAACCTCTGCATATTCTTGACCATTAAACCAGAAATAAAAGGACACTAGGGACAAGTGCTGCCTCGAGCAACAAGAGCGATACTGACAATAAATATTTCACAAAAATTTTTGTGCAAACCCAGGACAAGTGATGACAACTACTATTAGTATTTTGGGAGCCCATTTTCATTGGTAAAGCGAACCTAGCTGTACTGTACTAACCTGCACTAGCCTAAGTTCAGGGAAGAAAATTAAGCATATGGCAGCCGTTATTAATTACTACTGAATCACCTATTTAACTCTATAAATTCTATCATATAAATTAGTAATTCTCTCACAGAAATCACACAATTCTCCTTCATTACCTGCAAGCGTGTTACTATTTTGTGCATTGTTTTTTTTCCTAGAGACATGCATTAGTACTAACATTATCTACTCTCCAGAAATAAGGATGATTTTTATGACCACCTTAAAAAAACCTGCATGTGGAAACACTATCTTTCCAACCTTACTCACTCCACTTTGGGGCCTTCTCCATGTCTTAAAAAAGGTTCTTGAACCTCTAAATTACGTTCCCTTTTGCTTTCTCAGGTAAGTTACTCTTCAAGAAAACTGTTCCCAAGAAAAGGCCAGTGACATGAACACATATTTGGTGTGTGATGACAGATGAGCTGTTTCTCAGTCTCTAGGTCCATATTCTTCCTGGCATCCAGGTGAAGCACTATCACCCCAACTACCTGCCACTGTCAAGTAGCACATTTTAGCTTCTTGTATTTATTTTCCTTCCTAAACACTAACACATTCATGCTACAGATTATGTTTGACATTTCTCTAGAAACTACTTTAATCTCTGTTTACTGATTGTGACACAAGTCTGTTTATTCACTCTGGAGGCAGGTACAATTAAAGACAGATAATTAAGGTGCTCGGAATGGATAACCAATAATCCTTCCCCACTTTGACTCACACTTGGAAAACCTGTTTGACAGAGTGAATACGAATATCCTGTATTCTCTTTACCTACGTACTTAAAATGACAAAACTTTGTAGAGGCACATAAATTTTCCAGAGGTTGCTCTGAACTGTCAGAGAAGCTGTGAACAGACACAAAATAATGTACTTTCATTACCAAAATTTATTAAACACTAATTGAAAGAAGTAAAAATGAGCATCTGTGTAGCGTATTTGTAGGAGAAAATTCATATAGAGGTATCAGCAATTCAAAACTAGGAAGATGGAATTCTCAGCTTCCTCAGGGTAAAAATGGACCACTCAGACCAGCAGGAAAAACTCAAACTTAAAATGAACATTAAGGCATCTTTCCACTTCTGGACTTGGAGAACAGTTACCCCTGTTTTCTATAAATGGCTCAAATCTGATTCCCAAGTCCTTTCCTGCCATATTTGAGATCTTGGTGTTATAAATTTGTGAAAACCACTGTTAATGAAAAACTAAGAATTAACAAGCATAACAGCTACCTCTTACCATTAGGAAAACAGTTATATTTGCAGAACATAAAATATTCAGTCTTCTTCCATTCTACTACCCTGGGATGTGAAGTAATTCAAGTACATCAAATAAATTCAATTAACTTTAAAAGTTTAGGTTGATTAGGATTCACACAGGTTCTTAAAGACAGCAGAACCTCAACAAATGAGCTCCTCTAACAGCTGATGAGTCAACAGCTAATGAAAATGATTATTCAATGGCTAGACTGATAAATATTGTAACAAATGAGCTTCTCCTGTCTACTAAAAAGAGGTAAACTCCTTTACACTATTTCATTTATAAACATTAAAAATTAGTTAGCAAGACAATTATTATAGCTTAATGCTTGAGCCGCACAGTGAATGTCAAATACTGCCAGTTCTTACTAATTGCTGGAAAAGTAAATGAACCTGCCCTTTAGACAACCATCATGTAAGGGCTCTGACTGCAGCTGCCATGCCTTGCAAACCCAGGCTAATTCAGAAGAGGCAGCTCCTCCAGCATACACTGCCTCAAGCAGGTAACTCTGTAACCCTCCAGCTTCAGGAGTCTGCTACCATCCACTTCCTGCCATGCAATGTGACAGTCTTGCCTGTCCTATGGCACAACTACATCACTGCTTAGGTTCCAGTTTAATCCCAGGCATCATAGAATTTAATTTTATCCTTAGATCCTCCGTGGACACTTGAACAAGTTGGTATCTCCACTGCCAGCACATTAGCTTCTTTGCCCATGTTCTCACCTCATTGTGTAAGAGTACTTACTTTTCAGTGACTAGCCACTGAAGAGAGGATAAACATATTCTCATGAAAAAAATCACTGCTGAAGTGCTACATATTTACACCTACCCCACCCTGCAAAAACTTTTCATGTATCCATGATCTAAATCTTGAAGTACTATTTTAGATGATTCCTTAAAACCAAATGTTGGTTTTCAAACCACTATACTTTCAGAATTCAAGTGAGAATACATAAATTTTACTCTAGAGATTAAGATATCCCAAGATTACAAAATATTCAATATAATAGAAAGATTTCAAATTACACAGAACTAGATCAAGACTGTGTGCACTGAGTTACCAACACCATACAAACTGATATGCAAGATATATATTCTTCCACTGAGGTTTTTAAAATGACAGGCCACTTTTCCAAAGGTAAAGAAAAGTGAAGGGACTAAGGACAGACAACATCACTGTTCTAACCAAATTAGACTATAATTAGTTAGCAACCCACGTCCAATTCTGCTGCACTTTGACTCATCATTAATGCGTCCTCAGTAGGCTACGCAACCCTCTCTCGAGATCTGTGTGTGTCTCTCACTTTGGGAGGGGAGCAAGGGAAAACCTCTGTGTTTTGGGAAGGAAGATTCAGTGGAGCGTATCAGGAGTCTACCCAAGATAAAATCTGAACATTTTCAACAGCTTCTAGTAGGCTCATTCAGAGTTCTAGCATGTGAACACTACAAATGCACAAGCGATTCCTGCAACCTGCTACTCTGCTGTATGGCTTTAATGCACCTGTCTCAACAGAATTATGTGTTAAAAAACACAGAAGCGATACAGAAAACAAAAATACTACGTCAATACCAGAGACAAGGCTCATGTATACTTGGTCACAAATTGTGTACTCAACTTGTACGCAAATGGAGTGTAACATTTACACTCAACTTGTAAACAGCCAATAAAATCTGTCATATATGCTTTAGGCATTCTGGAAAGCCAAATACTGTGTATCAGAAAACATTTCATTACAAGACATAGCTACTGAATAATTACAGCAGAGGTCCATTTATTTGTAGGAGAAATAATAAGGAATTGTAGTTTAGATTAAGATTTCAGTTCTAAAACTCTACAAAAGGTTCTTTTCCAATCATATTTTCTTGAATTGAAGAGCTATTTTATCCATGATGCAATTTTCAACCCTATGCGATGAATCCAGTGAACATTTTCTCCCTTAGGACCGTCGAAAATAACATGCAGATAATACACCTGTTAAAATGTCAGTTCTTCAGCAAAACAATAGCCTTCCCTTCCCACCTTCATTCAGTTATCTGTCTCATTTCAGCACTGTGAAAGTGAAGAACAGGCAGCTTAGCTCAGTGCCAAGCCTCTTCCAACTGTCCCCCACCCTAGCTTGGAAGGCCTTGTACATCTACCACACATGATCATTCTTCCCTCACAAAGATGATTAGTAACATCTGCAAAGAAAAAAAAAAACCCTGAGCTCTCAGGGTCATGCAGAATGAGTTGGGAAAATGTTTCAATCGACTTCCGTCTTAAATACTGGAATTCCTTTGGCTCAAATCCTAACCTTTTCACAAAGCCCAGCTTGAACTTAGTTCAACAGAGGAAATCTTTTTTCCTTGAAAGAAAGGGGCTCTCTAAGAAATGTGAAAAAACATCCACAAATTACTAGCAGTTCCAGCAATAAGTGTTAGAATCAATTTCTTTAAATGACTCCGCATTAGAATTCCACAAATTAAAGGTTTGCTGCCCTGCAGTCTGATACTCCAGTACCAAAACCAGTGTAGTTACAACATACTGAAAACATTTCGTTTACTTCTCAGAAGTGCCAAAGTATCTAATATGTCAAAATAGCTCCCTGTAGTGCACTTGCAACACTATCTGAATATAAATTTCTCTCTGCTAACCACAGAGGGAAACCCCAGCTTTCCAGAAACACTCAGGGGAGTCAGCCATGTAGCTGCTAATGAATTTCACTAGAAACTGGAAAAGTTCTGAAAAGCTGCTCCAACTTTCTCAGATGCTTATAAAATTCTTGTAAAAAACCTTATCAAAACACATCAGCATGAGATAACCTACCATTAAACAGACTATCTTCTGTCAACATCTTTCCAAATAGCGGCACCAAACAAGAAAGCCTATTAACTTCCATCCAGAAAAAATACATATAATTAACATACATATGCATCAGCTACACAGATTTCTCCCTAACTAATCTTCCAAACCTACAGAAAGCAGTTAGGCTTACCCACACAGAAATACAGTAACAGCAAAGTGTACCACTCCCGTACTTACAAAGTCTTGTCGAATGTCATTGAAGTCCTTGCCATACTTTTCCAATGCCTCTTCAAACAAACTAGCTTCTGATGCTGACCACTCTTCCATTTCATCTCTACACAAGACGGGCCCTCCAAGTGGCACTAGAACACTGAGGGCACTGCTCAAATCATAGTTGTGTTTATGCAGTGTATCCATGGCATGAAACTAGCAAGGAGAAAGGGAGAGTAACAAACTTGTTTAAATAGACAGCAGTCCATTTCAGTTTATGCAAATTCAATGTCTTATTTTCTATAAGCCGTGCAAGAAGCCTCAACTAAGGCTAAATTTAGAATCTGTCTTGATATCATAGGCTTTCTGCTGTGGAACATAAGGAAAATAAATTGTTTATTACTTAATTTGGGAAAGGAAATGCCTTATAAAATGTTCACTAAAAATAACATTAGTTTATTAGTTCCTGCAAATTACTACCAAACATTTCTAGAAAATCTTTAGTTGGTAGAAATCGGTTCCAAGTAGCCCAGCAGAGAAAGTGGCATGTATTGACTGAGGGGCCATTTTCAATTAACCACAGTTTAAGCAGCAGCTAAACAGCTTCCCAGACATATATGTGCTTCAATACTGCTGGGAAAGGAAGCCATTTATTGTTTTCATTATCATCATACTGAAAAACAAGCAACATTTTTGTCCCTCGCTAAACTCTCTTGTCAGGGGTGCGTAAACAAGGTTTCTTTGGTTACTTTGCTTTCCTTTATAAAAAAGAAAAACAGAAAACAAACAAGTTATAACATTTCACTTTAGAGGTAAAAGTGACTGCTCACATAGCTAACCAACGATGGGAATATGAAAAGTAAGCAATTAACATCACAAATCCACCTGTAGTGAAAATCAGGAATATGAAAGCAGCCTTTCCAACTCAGTGTCCCAGAAGCCCCCCATCAGCACAATCTCCCAATGTTGTGCTGAAGAAAGTCTTACAGGTATAAAGCGCAGCAATGCCTGTGACTGTGTCACACCAGCCTCCCGCCCATCTGTCCCACCACAGCAACGAGCTGTAACTGTAGCGTGCAATCTCTCACACAGCCCTAAACTCATCTTGAGGGCGGCACTCAAAATCTTTCAAGGAAGGTTTCCTCAAAAACCTTTCCATTATGTGTCCGTATAGCACTTAAAAAGCTATTCCAGTTGAGCTTCTGCATACAAATGTACTGCAAATACAGAATTCTCCTTATTTTTTACCACCTCCTACGAGTGGCTACCATCTTTCTCCAGTTTCCAATATAACTCTTTGAAAGCTATCAAGCACAGGATTCTGGAACTGTTTTGTCTGCAAGGAGTGTCACTGTTACCCCACAATGCCATTTCACTCATGGTTCAAGCTGAATTCATCAGCTTTGAGAAGAAGCCTTTTAATATGTATAGAAATATTCTAATACAGATATATGTAGCATGATGTCATGTCTAAAACTCATAATCTGCAGATCAGAGAATGTAAAATGAAACCACTTATTTATTGTTGATCACTCGGGCAATGAGTAAGCTAGGTCTAAAGAGTGAACTCTCACAGTGTATGTGCTACCAAGGCTTAAAGCTTTTTAAATTGCAGCCCTTGTGGAAAAGCAGTACACACCAGACATCTTCCAAGCAGCTGCTAAGTGCGGATCTATTCACTGTTACCAACTCTCTTAAAAAATGACAACAGAAGTGAAAGAATCAGGATCTTGCTCTTGCCTTATGTTCATTTTTCCATCTATAATAAACATGTGATTCCATAAAGCTTCTTCTGGTTTTACTGAAGAAAAGGTTCACAATGAACTCTGTGGATAAATACTGTCTTCACTGAGCTGTTCTGTGACAGAAGACCCACTGACAAGTTCCCACGACAACACACTGCCTTCTGCAGGTTTGTCGGCCCTCACCTGCAAATCCCCCCACTGCAGTGAGTAAACTGCAAAAGCAAGAGCAGCCTGAAGACATTACTAGAGCCCAAGACAAAACATCCTGGAGTATCTCCTTTCTATCTCCTTTACCCAAGATGAGAGGACTCCAAGAAGCAACTAGTAGGTTCCTGATACCTAACCTAAGGAGAAGGAGGCTGTGAAGAACTGTCACTGCCTCTCCCAGACCTGAGTTTGAAGGATGGAGGAAGAACAACCCTTCCCTAAGAACTCTTGCTCAGAGCACACTGTCCAGCAAAGACAAGGGGTCCCACCAGAGGAAGGGCTTTAGCTACACAGATAGAGGGAACTTCAAGTCCAAATTTAAGCACGTAAAGGAAGAAACTATCCACCAAAAGCTAAGGAAGGGGCTGCATGAAGCTGGGAAGAAAAGGAATAACAGGGCATGGTGCAAACAAGCTGTAACACACAGTTCCCAAATGAGCTGCAATTCCAGTAGTCAGTTAAATCAACTAGACTGAACTGCCCCCAAAGAACTCAAACTGGAAACAGAGTATGGAAGCTATAATTCAGTAATATTTTAAGCATGTTTGTCTTAGAAGCCACACATTTGGAAGACTAATAAAAATCATTAAGGTGTTGTCATTCAAAATGCAAAGGCAAAACCCTGTTCACACTTTTCATTTTGAAGTGACACCCGAAACCAGATGTGCATGCTTACAGTACAGTCCTGAACAAGCCCACCGCAAGGAGCAAGTGACTCCATCAACCTGCCTTGCTGTAATGGCTCTTATTGTCAGTGTATGCACTATGTGATGTTTAGGAATCTGAAACAGGAAGTCTTCCTGGTTTCTCTCTCTTTTAGAGATCAGTTTTCATTACAAAATAAAACACTCTGAGAAGGCCAGAAATCCAAATTTCACTCGGTGGGTTGTCTCACAAGCCTTTACCACTGTAAAAGAAGGACATTTACTATCACCTAAGAAGGTAAATACATTGTTTCATGTCTTTCAGTAGGTTTTCTAAAAGCATTGGCAGCTTCCTGACTTGTCTCATACCCTTCCCCGTGTTTTCAAAATAAGGAAGCCTGAAAGTAGCCCCTCTCACTGTTAAACTTAAGAATCCCCCTAATGTGTACATCCACTGTGAATTTAATAATGTTTATAGCCTATGCATTTATTGTCTTGTTGTTTTGGGGTTTTTTTGAGGGTTGTGGAAGGGTTTTTTTTTGTTTTGGTTTGGGTTTTGTTTGTTTGTTTGTTTGGTGAGGGTTTCGGGGGGTTTTTTTCAGTCTGCTTACAGTAATCTCTAATTGAAACAACTAACTGGGAACACTGGAAAGCCCAAGCGTGGTGTAGAGAAATCCCATTAATAGCACTTCAAGTGCAAGAGTTATCTGCCTTAAGAATACGGTCAGTATAGTTTTGTTAGTGTTATGCACCTACGTCCCTCCCAGAGCATAAATAAGATACACAACAAGTTCTGCAAACGTCTGTACTAACTTTAACTGCTGCTCGAAATATGCTCCCAATTAACATGGGAACGTCTGAAAGAATAACTACTACAATGACAAATATGTCTTTTCTTAACTTAGAAGGAAGTACAGTGCCAAAGAGCAAAAGAGAAGGTTTTTAAAAAGCTGAGGGGGTAGGAGAATGAGAAGAGACCGATACAATAATTAAATCTGGGGTGGCTCCTCTGGTGCCTCATTATAAGATATGCCTTTCATTAAGTGTAATGGAACTTAATGGATCATTTGCAATGGAGAAACATTTATACGGCACTCAAGCACCAAATGTATCCCTTTATTAGCAGCACCGCACATTTACTTTCAAACTTGAAGAAATTGCAATAAGGATGAATCTATGCTATTAATCACTGAATACAGTAAAGAAGGATACGCAATATGTGGGATTTATTAGAAATTCTTAATCCAATGAAATCTTCATTAAAATGTTAAACTAAAGAAATATCTTGGTGGAAAAACAGAAAGCATTTAATGTGAGGAGAATTGTGTTGGTAAGGTCAAATCAGCAACTGTGAAACTGAAAATTCATTTTCAGTATTACTGAAAACACTACATTTTGCAAACTGCCTTTACTATGCTACCGTAGTCCAGACTAAATCAGTCTCCTGCTTCAGTACACCACAAAAATGCAAGAAATTAAATATTTCTCTCATAAAACTAATGAATATCTTTTATCTGGAATATAAGAACTGTCCTATTGAATCAGATCAGTCATCTGTCCAGACAAGCATTCTGTCTCTGACTGCAACACCAAGGGATGTTAGTTAGAGAAAATACTCAAGTCAGACTAACCACAGTCTGAGTTCAACTCCCATTTCATTCATCAGCATCTACAAACCTTGGAAATTAGGAATGCTAGACAGTACACCTCTCCATATTCTCCTCAGTACCCATTTATGGATCCACAGTCCGTAATTTTTTTAATGCCTTTTTTTAACCTGCTGACATTGTCCATTCCCATACAATTTTGTGTAACTAAATGTCAGGGGCTCTCTAGACACTTTCTAAAGCAGTACCTTAACTATTTTAAATGGATCTGTTGGTTTCATTGAGTATCCTCTAGTTCAAATACTCAAGTATCTAATGAACAGTGTATCTACTTCAGCCTTAATTATCATCTTCATGATTCTGTACCCAAATACTTAAAATAAACAAACAACTCCTGCTGATATCTTTGGAAATCTAAGTCAAACTTGTTTCTACAAAACAGTAACATTTTTTTGTTCTCACACAGCTTTCCTGGCACATCTATTACTGTAGCACATCCTGTCATCTCAGCTAATGAGAATATACAGAGACAAAACTTATATCTGCGATATATTTTTAGATTTCTCTTTAAGATGCAGGTGCTTACGTTACAGTGAGTACTTTAACAAACTAAGGAAACATCCTAAGGATATCCTAAGTACAAAGTTCTTCAAACAGCTGTTTACAAATCAGATTGCTTACACTTTATAAAACATTCCGATACACACATCTAGTCAGTACAAAACATTATCTAAACAATTTCCAACCAGCTGTAGTACCACATATATCAAATCACACTATTGACCAATTACACTGAATGAATCCCTATACAATGTGTATTATCCAGTCTACTCTTCAAATCATCACATCTGAAGATATTTAACAGATTTCAGCTACAGTCAAATGATTTACAGTATGAGTACAAGGGTAGCACCAATGCGCTTACAGAAAACGCATGGGATTACCTACCGTACAAACACACACCTTGCCAGAAGGTACCTAAAGCAAAACAGGTATCCATAGGACAAGGACTCTGGAATAACAGATACTGTTGAATTCAGAGAAACAGGAGAGCTGTAGGGTTTTTAAGTAGCCACCTACCAGTGTGATGTCTCGGGAAGCAGCGGCTGCACTCATGTGTAAACTAGGTTGTCTGACAGAACTACTGCAGTCCAGTGCTCGAGCAAACGTGCCGACCGCACTACGACAGAGAAACAGGAGACAGTAAATGCATAGAAAGATGTATCCTCTATTTTATCATCAGACTATGTCATATCTATAAAGTGTCCTTTTAAGAGTAAGTCACATACTGCTACTCCAAAGATTTCAGATCGTGGCCAACAGAAGAGAATTTGATAAAGACAAATCACCAAACATCACAGTAAAAACTCTGACCTTCTCCCCCAAAGTAACAACCTACAGAGAAGAACAACAGCGCAGAAACACAAGACACTCAGAGTATGTTAATGTACCAACTTTTTAATGTACTAATTTTTTTATTAATTATGAAGTCCAAGATCCTCCTCAGCTGAGGTTTTACAATCATAACTATTATTTTTACAATTCAAAAGCCACCACACTGTTCAACAAATTACAATACAATTAAAAAAGAGAGGTCACCATGTCCCCATGAGGAAATTAATAACATTTTATTCGCTTCAGTAATGTGTGTCTGTTACTTCCATTAGTGAGGCAAAGAAATTAGCTCAGTCTAAGTGACCTCCAAAATCATATTTTTGTTACAGGTTTTAAGTAACAATGAAATAAACGTCTCAGCCTACTTAATAAAAGCATTTCGGTTATTGAAACGGACAAGTTTGTTTCCAAACTTCTACTTTTTTTCCCCCCACTTTTGTTGGTGAGTTTACGTGGCATTTACTATACTTACCAGAGCAACAAAAGATAAGGAATAGAGATGGAACATTGGTATGATGGAGACTATTCTTGCATACTTTTTTTGGAAGCCTATCTATATAGCATGGACAGTGAAGGGAAAGATGCATAAAAGAATCTGACTGGGCTCTGCATATCATGCAGAAAATGAGCAAAGAGGCAGCGACACATCAGAAAGATTATTAATTAAAAGAACAGATGTTGCTTCAGTACCCCGAGTTGCATTCTGACCCGAGGTGCACTGTGTCACTATGATATTATAAAAAACTTATTTGTTGCAGTTTTGACGTGATTTAAGTCCTATATTCGAAGACTCAATTACTCACCTAACGTTTTTAATACAGTGTAAACCTGTGGACTTAGGACTGGAGCCACACTCAGCAATTACACTCCACACAAGTTTTAAGTACAGAATTATACCCATAAGGAATGTCACCAACAGAGATCAACACACTGCAAGTGTCACATTACTATGTACTATAAACCCAGTATTCAACAATAAAATGATGTGATGTGCATCGAGAGTTTAAATCACTAAGATATATTACTGATCATGGAGGAATTAGTGATAACATCTGTAACTGCGATTTTATCTTGAAGCTCAAAACATTTAATACTGAATGCACCTTTCAGTACTTGCTGCCAATTATGAGACACAAGGAAGATAAACAGCAGCGATTCACACCTCCAGATATTAACTGCTTACATTTCTAAATGCCATGGAATAAGTAAGTTATATTGGAACGTTGTTCCACAGCCTTCGCTCCCTCTATGCAAAGATGGCAAATATGTGACAAGAACACACACACTCTATTTTCTTTTCTAAAAAGTTTGGCAGTACATAAAACAGTATTTGTCCACAAATCAGTCCCAAGAATAAGGCTCTATTGTGAACACATTTCCTGATAGTCCGTCAACCCCTTTAAACATGTTCACATTGATAAGGGCTGTAGCTAAGCAGTCCTTCCTGTGATCCTTCTGTCGCTGCTGTTCAAACCCGTAAAGCAGCATGACTGTATTTCCCTTCTGCTGCTACCTACTAGCTCCTTATTTTCCTTTTGCATAATTAACACTATTTTCTTTTGCCCATAGTCTAAAATAAAATCAGAGTATGCTATGAAAATTACAAAGACAGCGTCCTCACAAGTCGCTCGGGGACATCAAACTCTTCAGGCTGACTTCAGAGCCCAAGCATAAGGGAATTATGTTGCCCAGTATGTGAAGTAAAAGTGAAGACACAATATAAAACTGGGTTTATTCTGAGTAAGTGATAAAAAGAATGGATGTACTAGTTGACATCACTTCCAGTGCTGTACTGAGGAGGAGAGGATCGCATCCGTCAGAGGAATGCTGTGTGCTGTGTGGGAGCATGGAGTACGTGAGTGCAAAACAAATAAGAGCCGCCATAGAAGGCAGGCAGTGTGCCATTCAGGGGCTGGGGGCAGGGGGGAGGAATGATGGACACAGGAAAGACAGACAGGAGGAGGGCAGGGAGGTGTGTGTGTCTGTGGTTGTATGTTGAAATCAAGGTAACTTCCAGTTCACCTTTCCCTGGAAACTTGAAAACCAGTGAATTTTTCAGACAATCCAAATAAGTGTAGGAATTCTATAGCATTTGGCTGTTAAATATTAACTAGGCTAAAAACTTAAGTGATATACAGTGTTCTGTGCAATCTAGCCATACAATCTAAATCCAATATTAATTTTAGACATGATTAAAATACGTTAATTTTAGTTTTTAAATTTAAAATACAGATAAGGAACATATTGATGCAAAAGTCAAATGTTTCATTTGCCATTTTTCTTTGCATCATTTTGTTTTCTAGTACCACCACCAAAGAATTATGTAAAAAATGTTAAAAGAAAAAACCCAAAACTCCAAAACTAACCAGTGCCCATTTCCAGAACACACACCACTGTCGTCACCCACCTGCTACCAAAATAAAATTAGGTCTTAACCCAACTCAAGCTGAACAGTCAGACATTTTTTCTTTTAAACAGACTCTAAATGTAAATGTTCCATTAAGTCGGCAGAATCCAAAGAATAACTGTAAATATTTAATTGAAACTGTATTTAATTCAATAATAACAACAATAAACTCAGGTAACCAAAAAATGTGCTCAGCAAGCTAGTCACATATTAGGTACTCAATGAGTAATTAAAGCCCTTGAGACTTCAAACAGAAACCAACGCTCCCCACACCTCCCCAAATAAGCTACAGCCCAAAGGCATACAGACAGTGAATTACACACAGGTGGCAGAGAGATGGACAAGGATGACAAACACTTGGTATTAACAGCAGAGATCGCTCTTTGCACAGGCTGTATCCACAAGCAGGTGTAAGAGCTTTAAGGGCTAGACCAAATGATCCAGTCTTACCTTAATTAGGTTTTCCTTATTTTAATTATCTTAAAGACCAGAACCAAGAACATTCTCTCAAGGACTTCTAACAGAGATTGCAGCTGACAACCGTACATGCATAAAACAAACCAAGATAATCCAGTGTCAAGATCTAAGACTATGAAATAAATCTACTAATTCAGCAAAACTCAACAATATCCACATACAAAAGAACAACCTGCCAGAAAACCCTCTAGGGATGAAATAGCCCATCATCATTTTGTTGTGCTGTGTGCCCTACATTCGGGCAAAACTTCAAGATTAGACATCAAACACCAAAAATACATTGCTCCAAATTTCTCACAATTCAATTCTAAGATATTAAAGGAAGTAATTGTTCAAATTTTTACATAAGACTAGCATTAGTGGTAACCAATGAAATTATGAAGCAGCAAATACAACAGAGCATCATAACACATTTCCAAAGATTCAATTGCTCATCGGTAACTCGTTCTGAAAAGGGCTGTGATTTACCCAAGAAAACCTGGAACTACTGTGATTATACACCAGGATAAAAAGTGACTAGTCTCCCCAGTAGCAACAGCAGTCCGGCATCAAATCAGACCCAGAAAGTTCTGGATCCAGTCCAGCAACTATTTAACTCTGTGTTCTCAAAAATCCATCCGAGAGAGTGTCATGGTTTCAACTTTTTAATCTGAGGATGTTTATTTTAAAATTATTCACTTTATACATTGTTTCAGCGATGAGTAGTGGGTACACACTGGACAAATCTGTTCAAAGTGAACCCCCACTGTGCACACCTGAATCTGCAAATTCAGATTTTTCCTCACATATTTGCATACTAATGAATGAGACCTATGCCTCATCTCAGAGTTAATGTTTCTGAGGAAAATAATTAAGTGGATCTTTGGTGGTTTCCTACATACTACCATAGCTTTTTGTTTTCCTTATTATTACATCACTTCACTACGAGCTGGAAACAGCCCGAAAACGATGACCACTTAGATCAGTAACATTATTTTGCAAACACTCAGTTAGTATCCAGTTGCTCCTTAAGAGTCTCATGATATTGAAAATCTTGGAAAGAAGATTAAAAAAATACTTCTTTGGTGGAGATACATGTCACCAGCACAATATTGAAGTTGAAAAAGACCCTTGAGATTTTTAGTACTGGATAATGCAAAATTGGACATAAGAACACATTTACAGTAAAATAATGCTGTTCCACAAGACACAATTTTCCTTGCATTTCTGAGCAACTGTCTGTACAGTGCTGTGCTTCACTGTCATCGCTTCAGATATTTAGAGCAAAGGGGAGATGACGTGATAAACATGAAGTCACCTGCCACTGTTATATCTCTGAAAGACTCTCAAAGTTAGGGTAAGGGGTGGCATTGCATACAATGTCCCCTATGTGCCACAACTAATCTTCAGTTTCAGAACAGAAATCCAACATATGTGAAATCTTCACATTCAACAGAAACAGAATCTGATACCTACAAGTAGTTTAATTCACAGGATATGCTTAAGTGATCGTCTGCATTCCACCCTGCAATGTCAGTCACAGAAGAGACTTATAGCCCCCAAAAAGCACGTCCATACGAACGCTGCTGAAGGAATTTTTTCTTTATAATACATCAAAATTCATTTAGAGAGATTAAAAAACCCAACAACAACAATAAACCAAACCACCACAGCTCCAGGTCTGAATTAGTTGTTTTCAAGTTATTTTGGTCAAGAAGAAATACAGTAACACAAAATGCACAAAGGAATAAACATATATTGGACAAGCATGACAGACAGGCAGAAACATCGTATTTTTGATATTCTCAGTAAACTTGATGTGGACGTATTTTTCCTTTTTATTGCCAAACCATCTGCCTACCATTAGGTGCTGTAATTCATCTTGCTACCAAACAGCTAGTTTTGCAAGTGCAGCACTGGCTTCAAGATTTTTCAACATCTTTACAGCATAATTTTATGTTGCAATTCTGCCATTAAATTTCACTGCCTCTTTCATGAACTCCCATTCCTCTTACTTCCTACCACATAAAGAGAATCCAGAGGCACAACAATATTGAAACTTTTAAACTAATGACTTCTATGTATTTATTTTCACTGATGAGCTTTGGGATTCTTGTCTAGTGCCACTGACTAAAGTGAATTATCTTGCAAGAATAGAGTATTTCTATTTGAGCACACTTTTAAGTGTTTTTACGTACTCAGTTGATGAGTGTATTCTTTTCCTCAATATGACGAAAAACACACTGGTAGCTGAAGCTGCATTGTGTTCCCTTCCTCACTGCTAGATAAATTCATGTAACCAGTACACCTCCATATACCATGAGCACTTAACTGAATTAACAGTAACCAACAGAAAGTGAATATAATCACTATCTTAGAGAAAATGGAAAAGTGGAAACAACGCAGGGAGGATCAAGCTCTAATTCAAAATGACTAACACGTAATTTCCCATTCTTCTGTGATTTTACATCAAAAATAAGCAGGCATTCAAATGAAGATAAATATGTTAGCCAGAGACATGCAATGCCATTTTAAATTCTAAGGTAGAGATGCATTGCTTTAAGGTTATTTTAATTAGTCTTCAAATCTCTGGTTTAGCTGAAAATAAGCTGGGACCATAAATATCTAGCAAGCAGCTTTAGAAATATATTCCAGAAGACTCTGTTGATAATCTGGTTAGATGAAGCAGAATAGAATAGCTAAATTGTTAATTATTTCACAGTATCATAAAGTAAATAAACAGAACTAGAATGTACCAAAAATGTTATCATGTAGTGTATTATAGACCAAATTAGCAGACCAAGAGAAAATGAGAGGGGGAAAAAAAAAAAAAAGGGTCAGGTCTAGGGTTCTCAGCATCTGTCCAGACTGGAGCCCACAACTCCATAACATTTGAATGTGGTCAGGCCCATTTTTGACTCCTTGACAAACTAAAAATAAAAAAGACAGGACTATTCTAAGCACAACAGAGAAGTTTTCACTTCCTAACACTATGCAACTCGGAAGAGAGTTAAAAAGAGAACATGAGAACTCACAAGGAAATGAGGCATTCCTTGCGTATTAGGAATGACAGAGACTGATGACGAGAAAACACGGGGCATCTGTATCAGTGTTTTAGTTCACATAAGGAATGGAGTTGCAACGTAACTGCCTCCAGCATCTTTTTACTGCACTTAACCATCATCAAAAGGTACGTTATAGCACACAAACTGGATTTCTCTTATGTTCCACATACTTACAGATACTTAGTCCGCAGGACCAGATCAGAGGCAGCCCAAAATTAAACCCGTTCAGAACGTGTGGATGCTAGGCCCTCAGCACTAATGAAACATTTCAATTGGACAAATCCACTTCTGCGGGATGGTACTATTTGCCAGTGTGGCAGATCTAAACTGCTGCTGGAGCTTCTTGGAGTCCTGTTCTTGGAAGCTACTAGACACAGAACAACTGTTGCCAATATCTGACAGAACAAAAATCGGTTGATGAAGCTCTATCTTATTTAAATGGAGTAGAAAATGGTGTTGGAATTCTTATTGCCAGAGTATAAATGGCAGTGCATCACCCAAAAAACCCAACTCAAAATCAGAATACATTAGTCAGATGCCTCAAGTTTCTCTTAACAGATGTTTTTGCTAGTTTGACCGAGGGCTCTTGCCCAAATCATGCTCCAGTAGTAACAATAAGACACTTTCAAGACTTGTAAATCCAGAGACAAGCAAGATTACTTAGGGAGCTGAAGGTTAAGGATCTTTCCACTCAAGTAGTCTTAGGCTTTTTTCAAACTCCACAGATTTTTCTGTCACTGCTACCTCCAGTTCCTGAACAGGACAGGCATATTCTTTACCTTTACAGCCAGCAAATTATTGCATACCATGGCTTAGTGACAGGTCCGGACTGACCACGCATATAAGCCTAGAAAAAAGGCCTCTTGTTCCTGAGACAGTAAACAGACCTTGTAAGACTAGGAAGGCTACATGCCTGAGGCAAAATATAAATGTTCTTGCAAACGGGCAACACAAGTAGAAAAAGAGAGTATTTAAACACCTTCTAAAGAACCAAAGCGTGCTTGTATGACAGAAAGAGCTAAAGCCTATAAAAGACAAAAGCAACTCTTCCTTCAACCACAGCAGATCGAAAAAAACCTAAGATGATACACTTGATGCCTTTGATGCCGCAAGTAAAAAGGATCACATGAAAATGCTTTTAACATTTCAAATACAAGATAGCATACACACACTTAAGCAAAATCACATCTAGGAAAGCATTTAGGAAAAAGTTCTCATTGTCAGAATTTCAAATTTGCAAAACTAAACATAACTTCCAGGAACCAGAGAAATACCGTTCCCACCGCAAACCCAGCAGGCACCGCCAGTGCCCAGTGAACTGCAGTTAGGCCACAGGAGAGCGGTCTGCCAAGTCCGTAAGCACTGCCTACCAGATTCTAACAACTATGCCATTGTTACTCAAACAGCTTTTAATGGCCCAGTAGAATGAAGGCTTTTACCTGGGAGCGCACAACATACTGAATTCAAAACTGCCACAATCATCATAACAGAAGTGTTTCTCCAGAAATTGGTGAAAAATCTGTCTCAGAAGCACTTAATACAACAGAAATGTGACCCTGCAGCCTGTGAATACAAGTATACAGAAGCTTGGAAACAGTTTCAGGAGAAGCTTGCAAAGATGAATGGGGCTTTGGGGAAAAATATCAGTAAAGTGGTACCTGCCTAAAACCTGGTTACGGATGGTCATTAGTGATTGCCTACCACAAGATCTTGGATAGCTATAATTAGTCAGCTATGACCAAGACCCATTCCCACCATAACACAAACCTTCTTCACAGAAATTTATCATCTTCTAACCAAATGTGTCTTGGCCAGGGCACAGCATTGCTCAGGATGTCTTAAATAAGGGAACAAAGAGAGAAGAACGTCTTTCTCTACAAATTTCATTCTGTCACTTCCCAGTAGGCTGCCTAGCGGTACACTCCTCTGGGAACATTTTCAGCTTCACAGGATACTACTACAGCTCACCAGAGTGGGTGCAAGATGAGGGGTGGAGGGATGTGAAGGCACTCAATCAACGCTTCAAAAATGCATATAATCTTCACACAGATGGTATTTTTAAGGGACCCCGTACCTGTCTGCCCATACTTATCCAAGTGTTATATTGCTGGTGACAGTAATATTTCTGTTTTCTGGGTTCTGTTCTATGGAGCTTCTACACGGCATTGTGATCTTCTGAACAGATGCATGTTCACACCTATAGGCTGGCTTGGAAATTCAACAGGGGCAGGCACTTTTTACTACTGTACAGAAAGGATACAGCACTACAGAGTGGGGGAGAAAGAAGAAACTCAGGTCGATCAGCACCTGCTGTAAAACAATAAATCAGCAACCCACTTCCCCATACATATAAGCTGGAAAATACAAAGCAACTTCCCTCTGTACCCTTCCTGAAATACATTGTTCAAAAGACAGAAAGAATAAAGAACAATAATTGAAAACAACATAGAAGGATTATTTGCCCAAGAAGACCTGAGACTATGCTCTGCAACCAAATTACAGAAAATACAGGAGATGGCGTGATTCAGGATAAAATCTCTGCATTATCTACGATCAACAGTTCTCTACCATCATTAGGACAGTACCTTCGTACTACATTTGTACATATGAATTACAAGACAGGCGACACATGCTGTATCTTCTGAGTATGGAGTTGGTCTTCGTTAAGAACCATATAGTTTTGAAAGGTTTTTGGTGTGTTTGGTATGGTTTTGGTTTTCTTAGTTTTGTGGGTTTTTTTGTGGAAATTATTTTTTAAGGTATTTATGAATTCAAAAGGCTTTGATGTTCCTCTTATAAATCTGCATAATCATATGGTAATTTCTATTGAACTGACCAGATTTTTTTTTTACTAAGGAAATGCATCGCTTAAACTTTTATTTCAACACTCATCCAAAATAATGGCACTGCACCTTAGTCAGCTTATATGCAAATAGAGCAAGTTCTGCATCCATTTCATTTGTTAACATTTGCTTTATTTCTACTTTTACCTTTTTATTACACTACGGAATTCCAAGTACTATAATACAAGACTGCAATATTAGCACTGAAATCCTGTTTCATTTACTCTGAGGGGAAAACAGACTGATGACTATATTTAAAATATCGCATTCTACTATAACCTGAAATACAGGCAGTGTAGCATTATTCCCAAACTCACTCTCTTTTTCTCTCTTCTGTACTGGTAGCTTCAATAAATATGCAGATGGCTATGGTCTGATTTTCTCTTTTAGCTAACTGTGGGAAAGAGAAGGGCTCACAAAATGGCAAACAAGTTGAGTAACATGATAGAGGGGAATAAATAGTAAGAAAAGGAAAAGGAATTTTTTTTATTAGAGGATTTTAATCTTACCGTGCTACAACTAAAAACTGGTCAATCTGACGGTCAGTAAGGGGGCTATCTGGATCCCATACTTTTACTTCCAGCTTTGCCTGTTCTCTGTCATCTAATTCTCCTGTCAAAAGGTAGATGGGACAAAACACTTATTACTCACAATGTTTTTCCTCTGTGTAATTGTTGTACTATGTTTAAAAGAGACATTGTACATTTTTAAACACACACACAGTACTTAACAATCAGCAGTTATTAATTTAAATTCCATAATGCAGCTTCAGGAAAATACATATCTTACCGTAACATCAGCATTTCAATTTAAGGAGGCATAGTATCAAAGAACTTTAATAAAATGTGATATAAACTTGAAACCATAACCTAAGTAACCAGTGGTTTCTTTAAATTGCTTCTCAACTATATCAAAGTCACTGTTTCACCTAAGTCATATTAAAATTAATTTTACACTTAACCAGCTTCAGCAATTAAATTCTACCCAATTTGTATTCTATGCCCCCAAATGAAAAATCATTATGAAAAAATGCTGTCTACTACATTTAATTATTTTTTCACCTCTTGCTCTCAGCCATTACATTATCTGTATTGTTAACATAAAATTGCAGTGTATGTTCACTAGCTAGATCCTCCTATAAAACAATATATGACTACAGCACAAGAAAGTTATTAGATCCTATGTCATCATTTCCCAATTCTAATTAGCTGAATAGAGCAATTTATGTGCAAGCACGTGTCCAAAACAATGATGGTGGTTTCCAAAATCTAATTTGAACTGTATTCATTATTATGAGAGTACGGAATTTGTACTGCTTGAAAGAACAGTCAAGTGTAAAGATGCTACAATAATTCACATTCATATGGACGCCCAAATCTTGGCTTGACTACTATACCACTAACTTCTGCAAAATGAGAAACAGTACAAAGGCCAATTAGGTAGGCAACACGTATTCTACTTGCATGAGAGAATTTAACTATGAAATGCAGCCAACACATTTGGGGCCACAACAGATGACAAGAGCCAAGTTAGAATCAATGCCTTCCCCTGCGTATTTCAGAAAATGAGCAGGTTCTTCTATGAACATGTGAAAAACTCCGATGTTTAGACAACTGCCACTACTTCACTCTGACTTTTATGAGCCACAAGAATAAAAACCTGTCCTCAAATACAGCCATTCAATTTCCTTTGAAAAACCTAGGCTGTGTATGAGCCTTTCTGAGCACAGAGAAGATCACTTTTGTATGCGTTATTTCTTATGACTTAATGAAAACAGCCAGTCTAAACACGCATAGTATCATCAAGGCATGAAACAACTTGCACACTTAAAATTCTGGAAGCAGACTGCCAACCAAGCACTGGCTTTTCTGAAATCTGATCATATATGGAAAGTTTCTCCAGCACATTCATTCTGGAAGGAAATGAGAATGTGGTATATATTTATCCCTACCAAACACACAAGTTAAAACTGCACCATGTTGTCTGGCTCATGTTTCAGGAACAAATTTCATAGTCGCATTCTCAGAAAAACAAAGTAGATTACTTTCTTCTTAACTGTCTTAAGCAGAAGCGTTAAGTTCTATCAGACAGGCATATTGCTTGCCTAATAAAACTTAGATAATTCACAACCAGTACTGGAGACAGTTAATTTCTGGCAATCTTAGGTAAGATTTTGAGTCTATAAACTTACTCAATGGACTACACAGTTGTCAATACATTCATTTTTTCCATCTGTGACAGACACATTGTGGGTGATGTTCTACATTTTATAAATAATCTCCGAGCACTTCAATCTGTTAATATATAGTTTTTAAATATCTTTAATGTTAACTGTTTCAGGACATCATATCCTGGAGATCAGAATTGTATAAGCATGAGAAAACCTTATTCTCAGGCAGGGCGTACTTCTCACAAAGAGAAAACATCAATTGCACAAGTATTCGTCCAAAACATGTCACTCTCCTCAATCAAGTTCGCAAAAAGATGAAAAAATTGCAATACTACACGTCTTTGTTCTATTAGAGATAATTAAACAAGTGCTACTGCAAAATGTTGTTGTAAGTGTTGATAAAGGTAAATCTGAGATACTGCCAAACAGTATTTTGTAATGGCAGTAGAGATAAACAGGATACAAGCAATGGAGTATCCGTACCAAAAGATTCCAAGCATATATAATGTAATATTTGCAATATTAAATGTTACTGCAATAATAGTAGACAGAGGTTTCCAGAAGAGAGGCGGTCTCTTGCCAAACTGCAAAAATGCTTCATTCCTGATTTTCCACTTAAATGGCAGGATATTATCACTTAAACAGGAAGGAAAGTAATCTAAACAGATCAAATCATGGAGGCAGTCAAGCGGTGCTGTAGGAATCTTTGAATAGTTGATTTCAGGAATAAAAACTTTGGTTTACATCCTTTGAATGTGCTGAAACAATCAGTATAGGAAGATCACATACGATAAACAGGTCTTCTTTCCAGAGGTAATTACAAAAAAAAAGAAGAAAAGCACCTTGTTTCCCTTGAACTGTCTGTCCTTAATCATGGCTGTACCTTACACTAGGATTTTTAATGTAGCAGCCCCCTTTAAAACTCCAACATACTTTCTGTTAACACACCTGCATTTACCTTTTATATAGCTGCATTTGACATAGACCCAAGACAAAGTTGCCCTAATATTCATTCCTTATATGGCAAACTCCAGGACACAAATGGAATGGGGGAGTTTATCTTATAATACATTCAGTGTTCCACCTGAGAAGGCTGTTTACAAGTGCTACCTTCCCTCACCACCAGCACCATAACAACTACAGCTTCTGAGAAGTCATAAGCTGTTTTTTGGATGGCAATCACAGCCATTCTCACTATAAAAGCTCTGCAGACACAGAATTTTTTTTTTTTTTGTGATTCTCACTAGATGATCTGATTTTGATCTGATGATCAAAAAACACCCAGAAAAACAGTTCAAAACCTTACACTCAACTCTGCAAAAAACCCAAGGGAATTATGAGCAAGTAACTTCTCTGATTAAAGTAACATGAGAAAGCTTAGATTATTTTTAATCTAAGGCAAAAGGAAAATTATCTGTTTACCTTTCAATAGCAGAACAACTTCCTGCCCCCTTAGCTTGCCTGACAGATGTCTATTCAAGATTTCAATTAGTCATTCCGGTATTGAGTTGTATATTTACACAGATCTTAGGGCAAAGCTCAACTTATGAACATAACTCATGTGTGAAGACTGGAAATGAAAGACAGGCTATATAAAGACTACAAATGAAAGACATCAAGTGACACAAGCCCGTTATTTGTATATAGCATTTTGAAACTGTTAACTGAGCATTTTCCAACGCAATAAAACATGCATAGCCGATCACCTCCTACCCTCTAGATCTTTAGTCTATTAAGAAATTAAAAAAACCCAAACAGTCATTAATCACTTGAACAATGCTTTTTGAACTAAAACTGCCTGCACCTCCAACAACTTTAGAGTGCTCTCAGTGCTCATCCTTGCAGTGCTTATAACTCAACCACTGATGATCAAGAGACAAGACCTCACAAAGCACCCTTAAGAGCTTTAATTCATCATGTTCTGAATTCCTAGAGATAAACAGAAAGAACTACAATTTGGCTCAGAATAAACTAAACTGTAACCATGTAGTAATGACAAACTTCGCCATAATGCTGCATCAAGAATGGCTGGTTTATTTATGGGAATGTCCAGTGCTGGAACAATTAAGGTTGCCTCTTTCCCAAAACCCTGCAGAACAGTATGCAAAAAGGAACTTTCACAGATCAGAGAACATGGAGGCATAATGTCCTAAAATCATACTGCTCTTCACTTTATAGTCCTTATATTAAATCACATTTAGGTAGAATCCCCACTGTTACAGAAATGAAATAATAAAAAGCCCTTCCATTTTAGTCTTTTATGGCACTTCTAAAGAAAATGATCTAACCTAACATACTGCATAAAACTACATGGTCACCTTCAGTTCAAGCCAAGGGCAAGTATTCAACTAATGAAAAGATACTCCAAAATTCACCTTTATTTTGGAATTTGGTTCTTGTACTTTTTTGTTATCTGTGAATAAACCTGTACAATGTCACTCGCATCAAGATTCCCCAGCCCTCACACCCATTCGACATTATTTTTTTGGTTGGCAGGCACTGTGCAGTGGTCTAACACTGTGCCTGTTACGTCATGACATAGTATTCCAATACTCTGAATACAGAAGGATTGCAACAGTTTTTCTGAATTCGTGAAACAGCAGCACATGAGATAATATTGTTTTCAGGAAAGCATAGTGAAAATAACTGTGTGTAAATAATAATGGTACCGTACCATATAAGAATATTAACATGAAAAACCCCACTAAATTAAAATGAAATCTGTAGTTCTGTATTTTGTTTACATTATATGAATATGCAAATTCCCTTTGACTACAGTATTCTAAAGATAAATAAGGCTATTAATTTGCATAAATTTAAACAAAGCATATAATTTAGAAAACTTTTTCTTTAGGATGAAATGTATATTGACTTATTCAAGTGTAAAAAAAACCCACATTTCATCTGCATCTGATACTTGTTTTTCATCTTCTACAGAATAAACTTAAAAGAAAATCAGACTTACAGTAGAACAGCAACCGTAACAAAACTGTGAATTACAATAAGTCCATTAAGTCAAAGTTACTGAGGTAGGAAAAAAAAGCAAAGCCAAGAGATGTTGCAACTTGAAAGGCGATTTGAGCACTCACGACGATACATTATTTGGGATAATAAGCACATACACAGCATACAATAAATAACTGTGTCCTTCCTAAGACTGACTACCAGACAGAACTCATTTAGTATCTGAACTTTCTCAGCCAAGGCTCTACAACTATTATTAATACAGAAATCTTTACAACAGCAATCATGCACAACCTTCCACGCCAACAATGAGGCACAGATCGTGTTGCACTGCAACTAGAAGGCAGAAGAGCAGACACGTACCATAACCATTTCCTTCAAGTTCTTGAAAAATAGAAGTTCACAATAAATGTAAGAGAAGAATAAGGACAGATGCCTAAGACTCCTCAAGAAGCTGAAGACAGCAGGAAATCATGGT